AGATGCGCTTGGACATCGAAGTCTACACAGATGCCAACTGGGCATCATGCGAAACCACACGCAAGAGCACAACGGGATTCTCAATCCATTTCCTTGGAGCCAACATCCATTCTGGAAGCAGAACGCAGGCAACAGTAGCACTGTCATCAGCAGAATCAGAACTTTACGCCATAGGAACAGCAGCAACAGAGGCACTGCACATCCGCAACTTCCTGAGCGAAGCATTCACAACACGCAAAATCAACATACGCATACACACAGACAGCTCCAGCGCAAAGAGCATCGCGATCCGACAGGGATACATCACCGCAGAGGTTCTCAACAGACACCTCTACCGGGTTGGTCTTCCTGGCCATCCCACAGCACGACTCTAAAACAGCGGCACCACGAACAGTTTCACCAGCATATCACCAGCAACAGCTGGTGTGCACACATGTAGGGCCCAGTATCACGACACAGTGTCACCCGCACAGTAATGTATAGTAACAGCACAGAGTAACAACAGTAACGACAAGTAGTATCACCACGCACGTTCACGTGTGTCGGCGGCTTCTTTTGTCAACAACTAGCAACTATAGAGGTTGGCTTGAAACGTTTCTTTTTTCTTTTTTGAGCGCCTGATGTGTGTCTACTCGCGCAGCGCTCGTATCTGCTCTGATAGGACATCTCAGTGTTGCACAGCACTGCACAGCCATGGCCATGTCCAAGGTGACACAGACCAATGGTCATGAGATCTACGGATCAAGGCCAACTGTTTGCTCTGGCATGGAACTCGTCAACGAGTGGCAGTTCACCTTGGCGGCTTTGCAGGGCACAACCCCCTTTCCTGACATGGTGGACGGCATCAACACTCGAGGTGAAGCATGGGCTCACTTGGTGTGCACGGTGGAAGAGTTCAACTCTTTGCAGAGTGACTCTCAGATCACCATCCTAAGGGCTGACTTCAGGATGCCTGCGTGGGATAGGGCAATCCTGTCGTTGAACCCCAGCGATGGTATCGACAGAGTTGTATATTGCAACGCGGCGCCCCAACGTGTGGATCCTGCTATCATTCCAGATCGACTTCGCCCATCTCGCAAATATGCAGTCATATGATCAGGTTCGCATGTTCAACCGTGGCTTCAGCTCTATATACATGCAGCTGGAGGGGAGCAGCATCTGGAAGTTCACGCCGTTCGAGCTTGCCCACCTCAACGCGTGGAGCATCACCAGGTCTGATGGTCAGTCCAACTTGGACTCCATCATCAACAGGGCAACATGGGCGAATGGCTATCTGTGGTCCTTCAGCGTGCCGATCAACCTGAACCAGATCTTCATCAACGGGAGCATGGACCATCTGTCACAGGATGAGAAGTGCCGAGTTGTGAAGTTGATCGTGCAGGCTCTTGAGTACACAGGCATGCAGTGCTTGGTGGGCCATCCACGTTACCGCCACATCATCATGGTGGCCATCGATCAGCGTGCCCGCATTGCAGCACACGGCTGCAAGGATGAGGAGCGGCTTCGTGGCTCGTCTCGCCTCGCAAGCTACATCCAGAGTCAGAGCACAGAGGACATGGTGAGCCAGATTTTCGCGGCTGTCAACCAGTGGCGTGAGCTTCACTGGACCGAGGAGATCGCATAAATCCAAGACCCTGGATGTGTCGACACCCTGCAAGTATGCTTGTGTGATAGTTTGGTGTAGACAAACAACTGGCGTGGAGTCACGCTCGATGTTTCCACATGAGTTTTTGCCGGAGTCAACCTCCAAGTGTATCAATACAATTGTACAGTCTTTTGTGTACACGCAGCAACCGCCATTGCCTTTCTGGGCTCGACAGGGCCCTTGAGCTAGACCGATATCAACAGCTCATGGACAAAGAGTGCCGCTGCTGACCGACTTGAGGATCAACAGAGTTGACAACACGACCTGCGCTTTTACATCTGACGGCTGGGTGGCGGCGTGCTGAGTCTGCCTAGCCGAGCGCCTCGCTGCTACCTAAGCAAGTCTTCATGCCTGCTCTCCCCTCAAACAAGGATGAAGGCGCAGACCCAATGCAAACCGATGGGGAACGCCTTGGTGAAAAAATGCTTGGGTGTGCTCTTCCTCTTCAGGTGGCCTGCTGGTGAGTTCCATGCGAGTCCGGGGGGAGGTAAATGTTGTAAAATATCGATTTGCTCACTTGGTCTAGATAAGTCACCCCTGAAAGGCTTTCGCCTTCCCTTGAAACACCCATGAAAAACGGCGTCTGCCCATTTTGGGACACCAAAGACTTGATAGTATACTTTTTGCATCACTTCTGCAAACATTATTCTGATAAATACATGTGCTTTGTCAGACCTTCCTTCAAATCCACCGTCCAAGAAACCAGCTGCAATTGAAACTACCAGCTTTGGTCCTGATGCCCGAACAAAACATACATCTAGTTGCCAGCTCTAAGGGGCCGAAACCCGCCAATGGCCAATGAAATCTGAGGGCAGGGTCGGTTCCTTGCCGCTTAGGCGGATGCCACCGTTCAGAATCTATTGCGTGTCAACAACACCCCATGGGTTCATCGTTAAATGGGTTAGAAAGCCCTCAAACGGGATTTGGCTTTGCTTTAGGTTTCCCTCTGACAAAACACAACCACAAAAGGGACGTAATTTCGGGGGAAACAAAAACACAACAAAACACAGCGTTCAGTCATGAGAGCAAAGCAAACGCGACTCTTTCCAAGAGTTGGCGGGAACCTGACCGAACACGGCACGCCACAAACAAGGGCGAACTTGAGAAAAATCACATCAGCTCCTTAAACGGACATCTGTAGGAATGTAGAACTCGGTTTCATATAAAACCAGATACAGGGATTTCTACAGAAAGTTAACCGCATGCAATCCAAACCCATTAAAACAAAACCAGGCTTCAAACATGCCTTGTTCTGTCACGCAAATATGTTAGATGCTACCACTCCTGATCAGTGGTTTCTAATATAAACATATATCATGATATATAAGGAACTTGGAGGCTTACGACAGGAGGTTCTCTCCTGCATGGTGAGAACGGCAAGTCGCTTTGAAACGGCTCCGGCTCCGTTCAGGCCCCCGCTTCGACCTCTCCGTCGGTCCTGCAAGGATTGAACTCATTTGTTAGAACTTATCCAATAGTTTAAAGGGCCTGGACAAAGTTAATTGCTCCAGATATGAATGTCCGACAAAATGTTCACAAACAAAAACGATCAGGGACTACCCAACACCGATACCCGTCAACCTGCCTTCTCAGGGCTGAACTTGCCACCGGCGGAGCTACAGTTGATGTACCCACGTAACATTTGTTGGGAGGCCCGTTGAATAGGTTCTAACACATGGGTTCCTTTCAAATGCGGGAAGAAACAAAAACATATGATTGTCCTTTGGTGCAAGCGATCTGAACCCTTTATTAGAACCAGTTGAACGGGTTCCCTGATGACCCCATTGCCTACAGGGTCTTGGCAACTCCAGCACACATAGTTTATTTACTTGTGTGGGCACAATTAATGGTCTGAAATCTGCGATGCTGGTATGAAATACGGTCACAGACATCTGATATAATTTGGGTCGCCTGGGGGAGTCGAACTGCAGAGGCCTGAAAAGCATCGCCTGGAAGGGCCCTGAACGGCCCTGTGTTCTGCTAGCCACTGACTGGCCACCAATAGTCACCTTTTTCGCCTGGAAGGGCTCGGTATGCACTCCTGTGAAAGCTCTCACTTGCTGAAACGGGCAACAAACAATAAAGAGTCCGCGTGACCCTTCAACATTGGCTCATTATCCCAACATGTGGGCACATTACTAGTTTTCTGGCTGTTGCAACAACACCTCCCGCATTTTGCTCATGAGACGGGGGAATTGTCATCTGGACCCGAAATTCATATTCGGAAATTTGCTTTGGTAAGTGAGGAAGAGATCAACAACTTGTTTCCAAGGACCTGCCCGTATGCGAAAAGCGCCCACTTTCTCTGGCGTGTTGCAAAGCCACTCAGAAACAAACAACACGTACTGGTCAGTTTTTAAACCAACAAGGGAGATGAATGAGACAATTGCAACAGAATAGCATGTAAAGGGCAAACCCTGTTTCTAGTCAAGCCGGTTGACTTGAACACACAAGGGCCCTTCCTGAAGGGAAAAATCAAGCCAGCAATGTTGCCACAAGAAAATGGACACGCCCATTAAAAACCACCTCCAATTTGCAAAACTATACGGGTACCATCGAACACCAACACAAACCAGTTCTGTTGGCTGTCGCTCGGCACAAAAATAAACACTGCACAGGGTGCCTCTTAAGGATGGTGAAATGACCATCTTGCGAATTTGCTACAAAACGCCCTTGTGACTTGCTCCCCTTTCGAGTTTCAATTTCAAAACCCCGAAACCCGACAGAGGCGATCCCTGGTACAATATACGTACTCTTATGGGAAACGAAAGACAAGAAGATGCAAGGAAAGGGAGAAACATGCCTAGGAAGAACAAATAATAAACTTCCAAGCAATGTAGCCCCTACTCCGAATACCCACTTATTCCAGGGTATATGTTGAACAGCCTGGATTCCCATGACAAGTACCTGCTGATATTTTAGCCAGGGTTAGCATGATGCTCCAAACAAAGTAGGCATTTGAAGGGGGTCTGGGAAGGCAACTGGGCCTTCTGGGCCCTTTCTCCCCCCCCGCCCGAGCATTGCGGGTCCCTGGAGCGGCTGCGTTCGCGTCGCCGCGGGCTCCTGACACGTCTGGCCCAACCCCAAGACACCGCGATGGGAATTTAAAGTTTTGAAACCTGGAAATCCGGCCCAACCGAAACAGCCCCAAGTGAGGACCCATCCTCCCCTCTTACCCCCATGGTTGGCCAAACTGCTTGGCTTTGCGTGTTTAAACTTTCGACTTAAACTGTTAGTCCCCTTTAAACACGGCCATGACCTGGTCATGTTTAGGCAAATTTTGCACAACCCTTTAATCGTCCGAAACGTGGGATCTTTCTGGGCAACTGCCTCCCTTCTATCACTTAAAGGCCCCTTATCCCATCGACAAGTTGGTGACACCACTTGAATGAGGGGACGATTCCTGCGAAGCGCACGGATGCCGAAACCCTAAACTTGGCCCACGGATTTGGGGGTACACAGCAAATCATCTTTTCTGATTCCGCTTCCTTTTGAGACTACTCTTAAATATAAGCCCAGGTGATATCCCCAACAGCAACGCCCGGAACCCTTCGAAAGCCTCCCTAAAAGCTGCTTTCAGCTGTTGAACTAACCACAAATTGAAGGAGACCCACATCACCTGGCGCTCCTGTTGGCTCCGGAGGCTGGCGGCTCACCGCGAGCTGGCCGAGAGGTGTGGGCGTCAGGCGAGGGCGGGAGGCCGTTTGGGCCGAGAGGAACTGTTGCCTCAAGGGGCCAAATTTTGGGAGTGGTACAGAAGTATGGGTGGCTTCCCATAAAGACTCTAAATCCCAGCAATTCCCTCTCTAATGGGACAACACCTATTGATCAAACGGTTGGCTGACCTGTTGAGAGGCTTCTACGAAATGGGCTCCTTTCGGATGCGAAAACACACACACACACATGATTGTCCTTTGGTGCAAGCGATCGGAACTGGTGTATTTGAAACCCGTTGATAAAGAAGCAAGGAAATGTCTGTACATGGATCAAATTTAGAATGCACTCATCTCGTGGAAGCTGCAAAAAGTATTTGCAATTCGGTTGACCAGGACTGCACATCCGCTATTTCAGAGGACCTCCAAAAGCTTTCCATGTTCCACCGCACAAACAATAGCCTGGGCCACATGTCAACAGAGACTGAACCAAACAATACCACCAGGTCGACCAGTCAAAGAAGCCGCCTTTTGCCTGAAGAGTTGGCCCAATCTAACTCTTTTCTCTGCCCAAAGGACTTGGAGAAGGTCTAAACTGCAATGCGAAAGGTTAAAAGGCATTGGTTCTTTGGACTGAGAATATGGGTTCCGTTTCCCCATGTCCTGGCTCGGATAAAGACTTTCGAAAGGGGTTGCCTCCCCTCGACTAAAATATTCTTTTGCCACCCCAAAACAATAAACCTGAGTCCCCGAGTTTCGTGGGGTTGGCGGCGCCAACCAGAAATCATGTTACATTCTTGGGTGAGACATTGAGATTCGCCACTCCCTAGTTCAATTGGGGCATGCCAGTGGTTTTGTTCTGAGCAAAGGTGAAGATATGAGTTTGAGCGCCAAACGCGGATTCATCTTGGCTGTTTTGCTAGTGCTTTATCCCAAGAATTAGGCAAGTCTCTGGTAACCAGGCAGGTCCCTGGTGACCAGCGGTTTGCAGCATCTTGGCATTGGGAAAGCGACCATTTTTGTCACTCAAAACACATACTTCATACAGCGTTTCGTCCAACATGTCCGCTTCGAGCATCACCCCACCACAGGTGTTTTTTGCTTTAAAAGGCCGAGGCCTGATGTTTCAAACAACCACCACACGCGCCCAAACCGCCCAAACTGCCTGAGGCCAGGACCCACCTGGGCCTTGGATACAGAGATGATGCAGCCGTCGTACTTGGCGCGGTTCATCTTCTTCACGGCCTGGCAGGCGATGCCACGCCGCCACGTCAAGCTGAGACTAAACAAAGATGTATTTGGGCATGCGGCCAAATATGGGACCCAACAAATCATGATGTTCCTTTTGGTTTCTCTTTAAACCCACCCCAAAAATGGTATTGTCAGAAAACCAGATAGAACCTGGTTTGGCACCATCTACCCCCCCCTCCCCACAACAAAATGCATTTGGTCGAGGGGCGTGTTTAAATCTAGGACTTAGCCTGTTTAAGTCACTTCCTTTTGTAAGCAGAAGGCAAACGGCACTCTACTACCCTGACGTGCAGGAAGCAGAAAATACCCTCCTGCAAATTGACGTCAAAACCCTTCTTTTCAGACATTTTATTTTTGTGAAATACCTTTTGCTGGGTTCCGTGTTAATCTGTAGGGGAGTATCTGCAGAGTTGGGCGATTCAACCCGTTTTCAAAAAACATGTTTTCAGCCTAGTAAGTTGGTGGTCACCATGGTTGCAAGTGGACTAGGGGGGTGTGTAATCTGAAGAATCTGTATAAAACAGTCATGTAGCGGTTACGAACACCAACTTTCCCGGGGTGCTAGTGGCTGCTCCGGCAAGCAGAACATGCTAATTCCTGTACATAGAGGATATGTAGAGTCTCCGTGACACCTTGGACATGGGTAATGAGCCCCTGTTTAAGTGGTCACGAACACTCCAAATGTGTAGCGAAGGGTTCAGGGTCGCTAGTCCTAAATCGATAGCTCACTCTTGGGGCAATCGAATTTGGACACGAACCCACAGAACTCAGTCATGGAATATTCAATATTTCGAGGCAAGGTCGGATAATCCTTGACTTCCTGAGATTTCTTCATGGGCACAGACTACCTCCAGATTGCAGCCCACGAAGAATTATATTTTGGGGGTGGTATAGGAATAAGGGAGGCCTCCCATGAAGCATTCGCTCCGAAGGACTCCCGCAAAACATGGGACAACCCCTACCAATCAACAAGGGTTGCTTGCATCGTGAAAGTGTTTAGATGACACAACTCCCTTGTCGGTATTTGAAGAAAATAACTAAACAACCTGGGGGATTGTGCCATCCAATAGCCCCCTCGGTTCCCATGAAAGCTAAAATTGCCCAGAGGTTCAATGGTTTGGGTTGCAAAGAGCCGCACCCGGCCTCCATCCCGTCCCTCTCATCCAGGAATCGGACGAACGCGTAGCCGCAAGGCCTGACAAATGAGGAAGGAGAGGCAAGCACCATGTGAGCGACGGTCACCCAAATGGGCATGGGAACATTGGTGAGCTCCTTGGTTTATGTGGGACATTTAGTCAGGCCCCTGTGTCGTGCGCCATGGTCATGATCCGTTCAATTCAGGGTTGGTCGCATGCATGAACCCCTGGATGACTTGATCAACTCTAGCTTGCTTTTCATTCCAGACAACAGAAGCCCGGCCCACACTCAGTGATCACTTGCACAACGGGAAGTGCCCTTACAGATTATATACTAGCTAGCGGTTGGAAACTTGAGTTTCCAAAGCAGTTCGAAGCTTCAAGCACGGGCCCAAGAGGAACCAAGAACACACCTACTTTCCAATGTTGGCGCTTCGCTTCACAAAACAAATAATCCAACCACTCAATCAAGACCCTGCCCTCCACTAAAGTTACCACACACAAGCCTTTCTTAGGGCTCCAAATAGCAGAAGTCCCCCAAATGAGGCGTGTGACTCTGTGCTGTTGTTTTGTTGGCAAGAATATAAATATCCTAATTAGGCACAAATCCCAGAGGAAAACACGGGCTTGGGCTTAATAGATTTTAAAGCCAAGCCAGGGTTTGTGAAATTCCCAACCTTTAAAACAAATAATCCAACCAAGGAAACTCACCACCAAAGGTGGTTCCCGAGAGACTTCTCCAAACCGAAGATTGTTTGATTCAGGGTACCCATCCATGATCCCTGGCTTACCTGGGCGTCGCACCGATCGGAGACCTTGCTCCGGGGGATGAAGACGTCCCCCACCTCTCGGGCCGTAGGGATCCGTCAAGCGGCCAACCGAAGAGCGAAGTTCATGCGGAATCCCCCGAAGGAGCAGAGGTCCCTATGTTGCCCGGTTCAGCCCGTTTAAACATCAGCTTTGGGCCACTGTTGGATGACTTTCCTCTAGATGGAGAGTCCCTGTATGCCGTACGCGAAGGGAAGGCAAGAAAGTATGGGGGATGAGGGGTGCCATCTAATTGAAGCGCTGCAACATACACGTATGTTGAGCTGGATTCCAATCGTTGAGCTCAGAAGGAAATCAGCACGATATACCACTGCCTGTTCCGTGTGGAAGGAACTAGCAAACAACAGGGAAAGCAAGGCTGCCCGATGACCGGCCCCTAAGTTGTAGGCCGAATGAGCGAAGGTTGGCCGAACAATCAGGCAACTCATAACTAGTGGTTTGGATTGGTGGGTTGGGGATTTGACCACCCCCTAACTTCCAAACCACGAACCAAAACCACAAAGCATAGGGAAGCTCAAAAGAGTGATGCCAAAAAAAACACCATCCCCACGTTTGCGCGTTTGTCCCCTAAAAAACGTGAGCCGGTTTAGACATGTTTTCCACTGAAATGGTTTTCCAAAGACATATCTAACTTCCGAAACTTGGGACCGTGAGCGTAACCAGCAATAGTACCGACCTCAGCGTTTGCCGCCAACTACAAGTCATAGTTGTGTTTTACTAATATTTAGTAAACCTTCAAATGTAAAGCAAAATGCAAGTACATTCCAAATGGGGTCTGCCCTGCAACGCAAAGCCTCCTTTCAGATGGCCAGTCAAAGGAAATCTAAAGGACCCCCATCCCAGGTACAGGTACACGTCACCAGCGCCACCCTCTCTTTTTAACCATCCTTCTTATCAAAAACCAGCTACTTTGTGCGAAGTTCGGGCAGTTTTCCGCAAAGGTCTGGATCTGTGGGTTGGAAGGTGACAGGTGGAAACTACATCTCTTCTTTCATCCCTGGTTGGTTGGAGATGTGATATCCCATCATGCCCTAAAAATGTTGTTTACATCAACTCCCAAGCTAAACTCGCCCTGACTCATCAAGTGGTGTGTAACATTTCTGCTTCCCCGACATGAGACCTCTATACGGCCCTATTGAGAAACCAGTTCTTTTTTTTGGGGTGTAGGAGGTTCTGGCCGCGGGTTGCGTCCTATGACATTTCCCCATAAACAGCCAGCCCCCCTGCGCCTCCCCAAATTTGCTGAACTCCTCCTTGAGGTCCTCCGAGTTCCACTTGGTCGGCGGCTTCCCGCTCACGTCCACCTCCATCCCCGGAGAGGTGCGTTCGGTTTGATTCGAAACCGCCGAAACAGGAAGCAACCCCTTTTGGGGGTTGATTGAAAAAGCAACATTTACTTCTTGTGTCCCCTTAGCTTCTCCGGGGCAGACCCGAAAAGGGCACCGTCAATCAAATACAAAAAAGGCAACAAAAGCACACACACACACACACAAAACACACAAGCAATCAAGCGAGCGAGCGAGCGAGCGAGCGAGCGAGCGAGCGAGCAAGCAAGCAAGCAAGCAAGCAAGCAAGCAAGCAAGCACGCTCGCAAACCAAACCAAACCAAACCAACCCAACCCAACCCAACCCAACCCAACCCAACCCAACCCAACCCAACCCAACCCAACCCAACCCAACCAACCAACCAACAAATAAACAAACAACATAACAAACACATTCAAAGCAAACGGAACATACGCAGCAGCAGACTCTTTGTCCCCAACAGCTGAAAGCTTTGGGGTCTCAGCCCAGATAGGCTCCGGGGTGGTCCGGGGCTTCCACAAGGTTCTGCGAGGGCTGCGGGGTGGTGCGAGCACTAAAAAGAGCATGGCATTGTTGGGAATACCACCTGAGCTTATTTAAGGCAGGGGAGCAACTAGCGGGTTACTCCTCTCGAGGTCCGTAGAAGCATTAACCAGGTCACGAGTAATTTGGGCAACCATGCTCGGTTCTCATCTTCTTGCCTCATACCGATACCTCATATTTCCGGCTTCCTGTTCACAAATCCGAAGCCGTCAATATAGATATATATATATATACACATGTATATAGACGCAGGCTGCATCTATTACACCATATAATTCAAACCAGCAATAAGAATTGGATCCCAAAGTAAAATAGGAAGATGAAATACTGGGATCCAGGTTCTGGACATGGTTGTGGAACATCGCAGATTCTGTGATACCAAAGTGGGATTCCCAGACCAAGACTTCTTTGACACCTTCAAGGGGATTCCACAAGGATATCATAGAACATGGCGACCCAACGCCACGACAATGGTACCCACGGTCCCCTCACTATATTCGTCTCTAAACAGCACCTGACCGAGTAGAAAAAACGGCAATCTTGAAAAAGGAAACCGAAAGAAATCGTTCACACACCTCAATCACAATGATTGTGAAAATTCAACCTTTCAAAGCGGGCAGTCCCCAAGACTACTTTACGACTTGAAAGGGGCATCGAACGAATTCGTCGCCTTCAAGGAGAACATCCGCCGAAGGTCCGGTAGCTCCTGGGAGAAACCAGCGGGTTCCACTGGACAACCCCCAGGAAATAGAGACTTACTCTGGGGCCACGGGAGGGCCGCTTGAGAATGTCGTGTGGCCCTCTAGCACGCTGCTCGCGCACGAAGCGCCAACCACTGAGCAATCTTTGTCTTGGCAAATTTTCTTGTAGATGGTGTGCAGGTTTGTTGCAGGTTTGTCCTTTCGATTCAGTGCTTTCCCCTGACCAAGCATCGCTACAGGGAGAATCAGCTAAGTGGAGGTGTCAAAATATGGGATTGGACCCTCAAACTTCTGGCTTTCCTGTTAAAGTCCCGAAAGAAAACTATAGGGGCACTTGGGGGTCCCCTTTACACACCTCCCAACCAGAAAGCTCCCTCCAAAGAATCTTGGTCTAACCAAACGATTCCCACAGATTCCTGTCAGTGGGTGAGGATATCTGCTGTTGGGCAAGCAAAGAAGCTGGGTAAGAGCGGGGAATAAGAGATTCCGCTTCTGGCTGCCATCCCCAAGTCTTCCCCAAAGGCATTCCCCGGTCCCGGGGAATTTTTTTTGGGAAGTTGCTCCATCATCTGACTGATTCACAGACGCAAACCACAACACAAGAAGCATAATATCGACCAGATCTCTGGGAATTAGTATCTGGATCAACAACCTCAATGAAGGTATCCCCAAATGAAGGGCCTCCTTCACAGGGTGGGTTTTATCGCCAGGTGAACTCGCCATAGTCGGACCATAACAAATCATAATTCATTAAAACGTAGCCAGAGAGTTCCCCTTTGACAACCATCGAACGGACTCAGAAGTGAGGTTCCAACCCTTGAGTCGTTAGCCGAGTCATATGCGTCATGGCCAAACTATGTGTGTCATGGCCGTGGCTTCCTAAGAACTGTGCTCTCAGTCCTAACATTCCCTGGCAACCAACTAATCTCCTACACCCATGGCCGATTTTCTGAAGGAACGTGTTGGTGGGAGGTTAACATAGTTTTTGCCATGAAAACCATCAAAACCCTCGTACGCTTCTCAACCTCTCAATCCCCTGCACTGGGAAAAATCACTTCACAGGGAATGATAGGGGGTATGTACCGCTCCCGGAATGAATCCGTGGGATCGAACCCGGCCACGCCAATGCCAGGCACGTGCTCTCCGAAAGTGCTCCGGTCCCGCGGCATGGTTTCAAAGTCTCGCCCGGGGGCCGGTCAGATGCAAATGGCGCGTTTGGGCGGTGAAAGGTCGTGGGACATGACTTCAATCGCCCCTGATGGTATGTTGAACAACTGGGTAATCCCAACTGCTCACTTCACCAATATGTTCCTTGAACAAACCAATGACTCCACGGGCCGCCACCAGATCTCCCTCGAAAGCGGGTACAAGGCTGATGCGTGTTCAGAACGGTGACAACTGCAATTGGGCTCTGCAATGCTCTATGCTCTTTATGTGATGCATTCATCACTGCGCATGTCCGAGTCATGCTTCATGATCAATATGCGGACTGTGTACACAACACATCCCGTTTCAGCCTCACCATCAGCTTGAACCAGTGGCTTGGAGCGATGCGAGAAGGACGCATTTCCTTGAACGCCACTGACTGGGGCGCTATCAGCTCAGGCTAATTGCTGAGGTTGGTTCAGTGTTTTGTCACGAACACCTGACCTTGGCACGTGCTTCGTCAGGAAATTCTGCAGGAATTTGGCCGCACACCCACCAAAAACAAGGAATTCCTGCATATGATTTGTGGCTGTTTTTTTAGAAGTACCCAAACAGAAACCCCCCTTTCATCACCTAGAGCCGTACACCATGATACCTTCTTCAGCATGTTGAATCGCTGAAAAGTCCAGGATGCCGTTCATCGAGTTGCATTTTTACGGCGCGTTCCCTATGTTGGATGTTTAACGCCATATATAGGACATATAGGGAAGTTGCCATGACGACAAAGGACACCTGGACATGACAAGGAAACGCTGACCTGGTGCCGCTGAAAAGCCTGCCATAGAGCAGTCAACAACTGGGATCCTTACATTATACACCTGAACATTGCCTTGTAAATGATGGTTTCCCTTTATATGGGTGGAAGAAGCCATGTTTCAAATGGGCAAAATATATCTTTTAAGGAGCCCTGAACAAGCGGACCTTAATCAGGGTTAAATCACAGAGGAAGAAAGCTAGCTCTTGGGTAAGCATGCCCGATCATGAAGACTGACAATCTAAGAACGTGAGGGCGAATGTATCAGCCGAAAGACTCCAGCACTTCCATGCAAAGCCCTGGTATGTGGGCAAAAGCAACTCTGGCTTTTGCAGCACAAATTCAGCAGGGGTGTGTTTTTTCATAGCACGTACGAGAGAGTACAATAGCAGAGTTGGGCAAATGCTCGGCAAGTCGGGCGATCAAGTGGATCTTGCGCCGCAAACAGTGGTCCGGAAAAAGAACAGGTGTTGGTGTTGGACAACCACTCGTCCCTTGCATTCAACGCCACTTGATATGATGCTTGCCTGCGACCTCCCTCCCTGGTTCCCGCAGTCCTTTTGCCTCTCGGATGCTTTTCTGTGAGCAAAACCTCCATATAAGCCGTGGTCAAATCTGTTGTGTCCCCTGGAGGACATGGGAAAGTTAGTGAGTCCCTGGATTGTCGGGAAATCTAGTGAGTCTAAACGGGCCATTGACTACTGGAAAGCATATCCCAGCCGCTGGTGCACCTCAATCACATGCCTCAAGCTGCCGAGCCAACCTTAGAACGTTGCCAAGTCGTCATCAATTGAAGAAAGGGTCGATATTTAATTTGGGATTTTGTTTTGCTTTATTTTTGGATTTTTTGTGTTTTCCGTCCTGGCTGGCAAAATGCTGTATTTTACAGCATTTTCTCACGAAATGTACGTGTTTGTCACTAGCCTGCCAACATCATCAGCAATGTTTTCAACATCCCCCGCATGTCCAGCCAACATCCCCAGCATCACCAGCAAATCAAATTCGTACATCCTCAGCATCATCAGTTCCTCTCTGGCAAGGTAGGTAGGTATTTGTGCATGTATGTGAAACAGCAGCGAGGGGGTCCCTCTCATGATGGTAAAAACAGCCCCCCCATGATGTTCGAACAAGTTGTGATTCAATTAGGGCTGCATTTTAATTTCTGCCAAAAGTCCAACACGTAGCGAGGGTTTGGGTTTGGAAGGGGGGGGCCGGCAGCGGTCAAGAAATCTAAGAACCAGCGAGGGGGCCAAAATCGCAAAAGTAGCGGGGGGGTTGGGGGGGCGGCAGCCCCCCCATGATGATCCAGAAAGTGATGATTCAATTAGGGGCAAAAAGTCTAAAAGTAGCGGGGGGTGGGTGGGTGGGGGCTGCCGCATGATGATCGAAAAAGTGATGATTCAATTAGAGGCAAAAAAACTACAAAGTAGTTGGGGGGGGCGGCAGCCCCCCAATGATGATCGAACAAGTGATGATTCAAATTATGGCCAGAAATCTAAAAAGTAGCGGGGGGGTTGGGGGGGAGGCGGCAGCCCCCTCATGATGATCCAGAAAGTGATGATTCGAGTAGGGCCAAAAAATCCAAAAGCAGCGGGGGGGTTGGGGGGGGGCTGCCGCATGATGATCGAAAAAGTGATGATTCAATTAGGAGCAAAAAGTCTACAAAGTGGTGGGGGGTTGCCCCCCTTCATGATGATAAAAAAAAGTTATTATTCTGATTCAATGCGGGGTGCAATTTAATCGAAAGGGGGGCAAGAGGAACTGGCGATGCTGAGGATGCAGGAAGCCACAAACCAACTGGGAAAGCAGAGGATGCAAAAAGCCAAAGCCAGAAGGCCGCCATAAGCTACAAAGCCAAAAAGCCACCTGCCGGAGAGAAACTGGTCATGCAGATGATGCGAAAAGCCCAAGCCGCAAAAGCCGCAAACGCATAAACCGCCGCAAAAGCCAAACAGAGATAAACCCACGTATAAAGTAAGGTGGTAAGCTCCTGCTGATGAGGTTTGGCCAAAGGAATATGATAACATGTAAGAAGTCAGTTGTGTCATTTGCATGAGCCTTGCCGCACAGCCCACGTCTCTGCAGGGGTGCCAAACTTTGGATGCCCACTTGACAAAAGATGAGCAGCAGGAAATCGTTTGGCAGCTTGAGAAAGGGAAACGGCAAGTGAATTGGGAAAGCGTGCACCCAAGGGTTTCGAACGCTGAAACTTTTAGCTACTGCTTAAAAAGGACAAGAAACAAACGTTGAAAGCGGGCAAGGTCTAGTAGTGGGCAAGATCTTCACTTCGGATGCTGTGCTTCATCCGATCCTTCGCATGGAGGAGTTGCTCGTGATGCTGCGCCCGTGCGCCTGTGTGCTGCGCCATTCGGCGAGGAGATTCAGCGCGAGAGCCGAGTGAGCAGCTCCCGAAACCCATTCACTGTTGGTTGTACTTCGATTGTTTTTGGTTTAGGCCTTAGAAACCAGGTAGAGCCCTTGGGATTTGGGCGCTGCTCAAGTGCATTTGGGCAGACAAAGAAGCCGGGACTTGCCAGCGAGGATTCGGATTCTTCTCATTGCCTGTTGCCCCCCGCGCAAGACGTGAAGGTTCTCCTTGGTTGATCTGTGAACAAACATACATGACTTTGTCTTTTTTTGAGGGAGCCCCAACAATAACCAGTGTCCCTTGAAAGCAATCCCAATGGGGCAGGGGCAATCCCAATGGGGTACCCTGAAAAAGCACAACCGACCCCATGTCAGTGTTCAATCACCTAAAGGTTGAAGATGGTTGAAGATCCAACCCACAAGCATCCAAGTCTGCACTCATTCATCTCTGCCTTCCCCAGTCTCTGCTTCTTTGTTTCTGAATTCTGGCCGCGCCCGGCCGAATTATCACCTAGATTGAATGTTCAGGTACCCCTGCGGGAGGTACGCCCTCTCTTGAGATTCTTCTTTCTTTGCTAGGGCACCCAGGAAACTGAGCGAAAACGTAGAAACGGCTCGAAGGGAGTACCTAACCGGGGGGTGCCTGAACATTCCCTCTGGCGCCCACAAATGAATTTACGCACAGACATTGAACGAGTGAACTGGTGTTTTGTGATACCTCTGTCCACCTGCCTGGCCCAACCAACATTGATTGCTTATACAACACTCGCAAATGCTGCAGAGTAAGAACAAAAAACACTCTAACTCCGGGCCGGCCCTCTGATTTGTAGGCGCCGTAGTTTCTCACTGCTCCAAAGAGCCTGGCACAAAGGTCGGTTGCAGGAGGGTATCGGTTAAGGTGTTGTCCAGGTATCGCTCAAGGTGCCCAGGGAGGTACTTGAACCCCCCACAAAAAGAAACCATTGATTCGAAGGGCACCGAAGGACCCTCGGGGTGTGTAGGCGCCGTCGTTTCTGGTTGCCTCGCAATTGCAATCCATCGGATGAGACTCAAGCCGAGTTTGCATTGAAGGTGGCATCCGTACAAGATATTTCCCTACCCCACACTTAAATTGACATGTCCCTTTATGCCAGACCTCCTTAACCCAACATATTCATTCTGGGGCCCTTGGTCCTTCGTCAATGGGGGCATAGCCTATCAGCGAGGGAGGACCACTTCGGGTGGGTTCTGCAGGGAAACCATAACGACACAGCCAGCATGGGCGGTCGATTCCCAGTTTTGACACAGGCTTTCTTAGAGGAAGTGCTCCGGTCGCGCCTTGAGAGCTTTGGGAAGCCCTCTTGTCGGAGTGACCGCAAAAGGGGAAAGCGATCAGAGGCTCGTAAGACGTGGGTATGTCCTGAAGTTTTGCCTGCTTCCCTCTAGTTGGTGGTTTGGATTGGTGGTTTGCAGGTTCAAGGCGGTTCCCACTTGCCCTTTACTGGAACCAGAGGTTCACACCCCTGAACCACCAATCCAGACCACCAGCTGCGGGTTACCTAATACCTTCATAGGCCTCGCTGTAACCCCCACAGAAACCAGGCATTGGAACCCAAAGAAAACCTGGGTGTGTCATTTTTGGGGGAACCCCTTTGTACAGGAAAACCGAAAGGAAACAAGCATTTGGAGGGAATCCCTATTTGGAGACATACCCATATACGGGCCAAATACACCTCAAACCCTGTCCTTCCGAGTCGCCCCAAGCCACACTCGTCGCCTACTCCAGGCATTCGATGTCCGAATCGTCTCCGACCTCGAAGTGCGGTCAAACCAACGACTAGCCATCATGCTCCCCGCAAGCCCACGTTTTTTGAAGGTATCCCTTTTCAGCTTGGCTAAACGGAAGCCAAAAGTTTGCGGGTCCTTCTTGGGCTTGGTGTCCTCCTCGTTTTTCCCATACACACCCTTCGAAGGTTCGTCCATTTGTGAGCCTTACAATTCTCGAAGCTCTGCAGGTCACCCCTGCATTTGCGAGGCTTGTGCCACGCTTGCATGTTCAAAGCCGACCTTTGACCTGTTCTGGCATATGTGCTTGAAATTATGCAATATACACCTTGGGGTTCACCAAATATGGGCAATAATAAATGTATACTTGTTTGGTTGGGCGGGCAAACGCTGAAGTAGTTGTGACAGTTTGCTTGTTTCTTTCGAAACTCTTGATTTGTTGGTTTCGAGTCTAATTGCTCATTCCTTGCAGCATCTCCCAAAAAACCGCAAGGGCACTTAGGGTAGGGCATTTGGCTAGGGGCTTGAAGGGTGCCGCATAACATCTGGTTGCACCCCCTTTGGGGTTTTATTTCGTTGAGGCATGTGACAAGATAAAGATTTCATCGAACAATTGGGAACCGCAAACCCTCCTCTGTCTAGGCCATGGAAACACTGACCTGGATAAATTTCAACCGCACCAACCTGAAACAAGAGACGCAACGCAAAAGCAGCCAAAACCACACACTCCTCGGTACTGATCAACACCCTGAAAAGGTCAGTGCTTAAAGATAGAGGAATGTTTATTACTGTCAAATTACCCCTGATGCTTGTAAAAGCTCATACTCGCTCAATTTCTCTATATACACTATACCCAAAGAAACTTACACACACACACATTCCATGTTTATTTAGGTGTTCAATCCGTATGTTTGGATTAAGCTGATCTCATTGACCGCATCTGTCCACTCGATCATTGAGCCCCCGCGCGGTCACGTCGCCCAAGTCTCGCCGTATTGCTTGCCGCATGAGCTCGGACCTGAAAAAACAATCAGAGCGCTGGGCCAACCACCCAAGACGGGGTTGTGGAAAACCTCTGTTTCTGTGATGCCAACAGAAGTCACGTGACTACTTTGTGACTTTGAAGGGGGGTCCTGCATATAACAAACACAGCCCCTAAAACACAACTTGGCACCAACAATGATCAAAGACTCCCCCAAGGTGGGCATTAGGTTAGGCCAAAGGAAGGGCTTCATGAATGGGATTGGGTTCCCGACCAACAAATAGCCTGGATCCACTTAAGTTCGAATTTATCTCCAGAAGACCAGCATGTGTTTCAGGTATGTCAGCAACACACTTTGCTCGTTGCATTCCGTGTGCATATGTATATATATATATATATATGTATATATATATATATATATATGATCCAGTCTTCCTTGGCTGCCCCCAACCCTTCACCCCCCAATGGTCATGCTCAGTCCAGAAGGTAGCACAGTGACTGTACAAGCCCCCCGCCCCCCGGTAGGACGGGTGGGGGGGTTCATGGTGCCCACCTCCCCCCCACTCCCCCCACCCCCTGTGAGAGTGGGGGTTGGGGTCTATATGGAAGCTAGCACAGTGGGACAGTACACGCCCTGTACGATGGGTGGGGGGCCTGGACGGACCCATACCATGGGGGGGGGGGGGAGGGGGGGACTGGGCGACGGGAACACACACACATATATATATATATATATATGTGTATTAATGTATGTTTCATAAACACAACCACGACAGCACTACAAAACAAACAGCACCACACACACACACGAACAGAACCAGAAAGCGAAGCATATTGAAAGAAGCAATCTCAGGAACAGTGAACAGCACCAACCAGCAACACACGCAACACCACAGGAGTCAGAAGCTCAACCATCCCTAAGCATGGAAAGAATCTGGAGGGCAGCTGCACCTACCGGGCTGGGACTATGCCCTTGTGAACCTTCACTTGCCCAGGTTTGATTCTGGCGCATTCAAGATCAAAAAACCAAACAAAACACGATGCATAAAAACACACACACACACAAAACAAAAAACAACAAAAACAACAATAACACATCAAACACAAACCAGAACAACATCCCAAAAACTCGTTTCCTACGGGTGAGCTCGCTACACAACTGAACCAAAGAACCTCCGGTCCAGCTGTTTTCGCCAGGCCGCCAGTGGATCTCGTCCCTGGCGCTACACATGGTCCGCTCCGCCCACTCCCGGCGTCGGCGCACGGCACCTGAGAAATCATTTGGCTTGTGTTGAAGGGAATCTCAAATCCCAGACTTTTTGGGACGACCAATTTAAGAGCAAAAACCAGTTTGGACTTTATTGGCTCTCAGGAAGTGAGGATTAAAGGGCGTATATGTTGGAAAGCCAGACTTCCAACTACCCAGCCTCATTTGCGTCACCCAATAAATGTTGGGTCTTCAAACATGTTGGTGACATCAAGCATCTGGTCAACCTATTCTTGACATCGCAGAAGCACGGTATCCCGACAAACAGCAACATTCTGGGGAAACTACTCCTCGTGGCCGTTGCAATCCTTCATCTACCAAAACTGTGCGTTTGAAGAAGCCGAAAGTGGTCAGTAGACTTGAGCCCAAAGGGTTCCCTTTTGAGGAAATCAACGGTCCCTGGGTTGAAGTCCAACTTGGTTAGTGTAAAAAAGTCAACCCTGATCAGGGTTGAGCCTTGGGGTAATTCGTGTGCACCCCAATGTATTCCGCGTAGATACTGCAGATCTGAGCCGGCGGCACATGTAGATAAAGAACGTGGAGTAACCTCAGCTGACATCCGGCTAGTAAGCTGACGTAATGCTGGAAGATTCCTGCGTCCTGGGACAGCGCCCGAAAGCAAAACCAACTTTCAGACTCACCTGTCACTTTTTTGTGTGGATTTTGTTTGATTTCTAGGACCGTTTGAGGTGGGTTCGTTTGATCATTTGCGGAGGTCAATCTCTTCCTTATCTCTCTATGTGTCCATGGCACATTTTTGTTGTTCATCGGTGGTCTTGGAAACAAGAACCTCCAGCACTCTAAGGGACTATGTAGGAAAACTTTCCACCAATCTGAAATCGGGAATCCCCAAATCCACCAGCAAAAAACCTTCATCATGGGGTAAATCGCTGTATTTCCGCCCCGCGGCCCGGGTGTATTTTGGCTGAGCCCTGAGTCGCAGGCTCTCACTTGCCACCAGCCCCTCAAAGACATCATCATCGTGGCCCAGAGACTGGCCGAACCGGGCAGCGAAAGCGGGCACGACAAGGAACTATCGATCCGCGTGCCTTCGAATGTACAAGCATTCGAAATAAGCCAGGTTCTAAGCTGACCGGCTGAGTTGACTGGACAAACAATGTTCTTGAGCCCTTACCGACATGATGTAGACATTAGCCAACAATTAAAGTTTGTCAACTCAACAGGCAAGTAAGCCTTGCTAAGGCCAAGCCCTGAAACCTGATTATGGACACCCCTTAGATCCCTCCAGCATTCCCTGAATATTCTTCGGCAAGGGAGATGATGTCGACCCCTGACAAATACCGCTTCCATGGAAGAAAAGCAAAACAAAGGAAACCACAAAAAGCACCATGTTAAAAAGGTAAGGCTTCGGTCTGCCAATGAACTTCTGGGAACTCCTGAAAAATGCATGACTTCCGTTTTACTTGCCTGTAAAACTACAAGCCAGTAAGTTGGTGCAAATGAATCACCACCATCACCCACATGACCCCGCAATCGTCACGTTTCCCAAAAAGTTCCAGGTTAAAAATCCAACCCAATAGTGTATGCGGCTCGCGTATCATTTCTCCAGGCTAATTCGCCAGTTGCGCCACGTACTGCACGGCCATCTCTAGGAAGTATTCCTTAGATACCGTCTCTGAGCCGCGGGCCCGCCCGTGCGACGAAAATTATGCTGCAAGCTGTCCGGTGTTCTCGGTGTGTGTTGTGTCCAAGGTGCCCTTTGGCCAGATTGAAACGGGATTTCGGAACCACCCTATTTCAGGGTTCATTTGGCAGGGCGGCTTCGGCAAAATGAGACAAGCAAGTATGGCGGCCTGTTGTTTTCCTGTTTGTTTGCTCCTTCCTTTTAGTGATGCCTCTGTTGTTGAACAGCCGAGGCTCACGTTATTCCCCCCAAGCATTGCAACATCTCAGAGCGAGAAAGAAAGAACAAACAAGGAAGCCTTCCTAGGTGGCCATGAACAACCGCCACGGGGAAACCTCGCAAGAAGTGACCTTGTTCAATCTCTTACCAACCAATTGGAACAACATACCATGGTTTCATGTGGTAAACAGAAGGGTAGTTTGCCAGAATATCACCTGGATATGTGCTAGCAATGCATTGTTTGCATTTGCGCTACGTAATGTTGACCTATGATGAATAAATGGCCACCCCCCTGAATGACCCTAAATAAAGATTAGGGGAGAATTTTCAGGGTCAGGCTTTGTTTAACGAAGTTTAGTATTGGGCTCTGATTTTTTTGGTGTTCGAATACTAGAATTGAATTGGGTCAATTCAAAAGTAGTATTGGGCATGAGTTTTCTTCTTATTTTGTTTGGGGTGGATTCTAACTTAGTTTTGGGTCAATTCTGAAGTAGTATTGGGCCAACTACTTTTGCATGTTTTGATGGGGGAATCTGGTTAGCATTATTCAGGGTCTGGTTATTATTTCGTGCATCAGGGTTCATGGGGGGGTACCCTTGCTGCCAGGGTCATTGTGTTGATTTTGATGGTTTTTTAGAAGGAATTTTAAAAGAAAGGGATCCCATAAATTTGTGGATTTGGGATAAATCTAGAATCAAGTGTGGGATGAGCCAAGTGGAATGGAAAGCTTGACCATGAATAAAGATAAGGGGATAATATATTTTTTTGATGGGGGAATGTGGTTAGCATTATTCAGGGTCCGGTGATTATTTCGTGCATCAGGGTTCTTGGGGGACACCCTTTCTGCCAGGGTCAATGTGTTGACTTTCATGGTGTTTTAAAAGGAATTTTAAAAGAAAGGGATCCCGTAAATTTGTGGAATGGGAAAAATCTAGAATCAAGTGTGGGATGAGCCAAGCTTGGCCATGAATAAAGATAATGCAAATCTCGTGGGGGATGAGGGTTGGGAGCACTGACCCTGAATAAAACTCTGCATTTTGCATGGATCCCAATGGGAATTCTAGAGTTATTTTCTGAGTTGGGCAACTGAGGATTCATTCATTTAGGTGGGGGAAAGGTTATTTTTTTGAATTAGTTTATATTATTCTGTCATCTGTTCATATGTTTTCACTTGGGAAAAACGGCTAGCATTATTTTGGTATATTTTTTATTTCATTCGGGCAGTCAGTTAGCATTATTTATGGTACACTTATTTATCGTAGGTCAACATTACTAGTCATGACGCTTCTCCTTTGAATCAAACTGAAAACACAACATACCACCTTGCGCACATCACATATGAATTCTCAATCAATTGTTGTCAAAATTGTCTGGAAGTGTACTTGGCACATTCTCCCAAGTAGGCACCCCTTCTGTGCCTTCCTACCTGAATACTCACTTGATGCTGCCCTATTTGCAGGTAAGTGATTAATTATGCCGAGACTCCATGTTCAAGCCAAAATGCTGCAGGTACCTGCCACAGGCAGGGATGCAAGCGGATACCAAGGCAAAGCCTTTATGCAATTGGCAAGGGTGGCAACTTTGCAACACAAACAGCAGACAAATCAAGCTCTGAGTTTTGAAACATATAACCCAGCTCGTGTCCATTCACCTTTACATGTCGAACAGCTTCAAACAGAAATCAAATGCAGAATCCAGCACTTTCCAAGGGCTATCGAATGGTACCCTGAGTGCCTATTTGGGAATATGTTTGAGGCAATTCGACAGTCCTTGGAAAAGGAACTCAGGAACTGATTGTGGTTCATGTCAGGGTGCCCTGGACCAATGCAGGGCATCATTTTGGCAAACCCTAAACCTGGTTCTTGACAACCATGTGATCTTTCGGTTTATGGCCCCCCCCAAAAAAAAAGAAACAAGAACAGGTGGGTTGGAACGGGCTGAAATTGAGTTTAACTATCGGCTCGGCTGCGACTCCAGAAGAGGGCGCTGCTCTGCGCGGGCTTCGAAGAGCTGACGATATTCTTGATGAGCCTCGCGCGAACGGACGTTGCTTGGAGTTTGAGTGCCCGTTTCTCCTATTGACTTTTGGTTCCACTTAGTCTTCCAAATGGATATAATTGTGTACAGCCCTGACCAAAGGGGAGTTGCTGCTTATTTGAATATCCGACGATATAACCAGAACCCCATAGAGGCATTCCCAAACCCGATACCCCCTCACCCGCAAATTCGATAGTGGCCTAGCGGAAACCGATATATATATATATATAGACCCGTAATATTGCCTGTGGCACATTTTGGGTGGGTCCACAATACGATATGGACCAGATTCTGCGAGGGGCAATCGAGCTCACAAGGAAGCGGACAGTACACAACCCTTTCCTACCCTGTGACCCTGTATGGGGGCGCTTGGCTGCCTTTTGCTGCTTACAAATGAGGTTACCCACATCATGGTGAGCTCGCTTTACCCCCGGATCACGTGGCAGTCTGTCCAGCCTCCGTGTATCTGAGAGTATGCTCTATAGACGTGAGAAGGCTGCCATCACGAGGAAACCTGGGCTGGCGTGCTGAAAGCTACGCCCCAAACCCTCTTCCAACTAAGCGCGGGCCGTATCCCCAAACAAAAACCGCTCGAACCCTGGAAGCCCCGAGGCTCTGAATCACTTCTGAGGCTCATCCGGGCAGAGGCCCCAAGGCTTTCAGCTGTTGGGGTAGGAACATTAGAAACATACGGTGTTTACTCGTGCGACCCCCCGTCAAGATCTTGAAAGTCCTCTACGTTTGACAGCCGCCAAAAAGACATCCGGGATGCCAGCCTCGATTGCCTTTGGCGGCTCTTTGAAATAGCCAAACCCCGAACGACGTCTCTATGAACTCAAGAACGCTCTGTGATCAAGCCCCTTGAACAAACAAACAAACAAACAAACAAACAAACAAACAAACAAACAAACAAACAAACAAACAAACAGGCTACTTTTGACCCATTTTCTTTCATTTACTGCCACACAAGGGGGAGAGGGCATCACCTCCTGCGTGGATTGGTCCAACAAATTCGTTATTACTAAACACTTCCCAAAAAGCCCCCAAAACGTCAGCAAGTGTCAAGGGTGCCCTTGCAGCAAATGCCATTTCCCCGGTTTAGACGGTCACGTTCAAACCATGGTTTACCCTGTAGCAAAGGGCATGTGGAATTCTAAAGGGCACTCTTGCGACCAACCGACAATGATGGGTTGCATCCTGTAAGCTTGCCTTTTAAAACCAACCAGCGGGTCCGTAGAACGATCTTCACTAACAAAAAGCCGAGACGCTGAGGATAAATTTCATTCGTGTCGGGATTTCCGGTCAACTTCCTGCGATCCTCACCCCTTAGCAGGCTTACGGATTGCCTTTTAATTGAAGAAACCCGTACGTAGGGCTTCAATCACAACTACCCAGCAATATTCACACACAGTCGGAACTTGGGCGGGACACACCTTGGTTTCGGCAAAGCTTAGCGGTGAATCAGAAGTTGGCAACAAAGGGTGATGTTGACAATCACTGGACAAATACCCAAACGATGCTTATCAGGACCTCCCCAAGGCAGGAAAAGGTTGTTAAACAACATACCACCAACTTACCAAGCCCAACTAAAAGGGGTGTACGGACCATGGCACATGCTGGACTGTGCAAAATTAACACTTTGCCAAGTCCCAAGGGTGCCAAACCCGTTGGCATCCCAAGGGTTGGCATTACCTTTGAACCGCCCAAACCAAAATGGGGAGGTGGGTGTGTTTCTTCGTGTTTGCTTGGGACCCTTTCTTGGGAATTCCTTCATTGCCGGAAAACCAAAAGAAAACCACGCTTCTCAGGGTCCAACCATTTTGAGAGACGCATATGAACCATTGACCAAAGATGCGGCTACAAAGGACATCGGAAAAATACTCCCCTACTTTATTACTTTATGTGCGACTTGCTGTGAGTCCGCTAAGTTCTCCCACATGGACCATAGACAGGAAAATTTCAACATGAACCTCCTGTCAAACTTTGCGGTTTTCGGTGGTCACCAAATTTGACGGTCCCTGGAAGCAGCTGGATATGCGTCAAAAGAGGGCCGCCCCCAAAAAAAGAGGCGATGGTGCTCCTTGTACTTTTGGCTTGAGTTGTTGATACCAACTCCAAGAAAACATAAGTTCAGATGGCATCCCTCACAGCAACCCCGGAACCCCTAGAACCCTAGCCCAGAGCCGCTCCAAACCACTCTGGAGCATTTCTTGGCAAAGACTGCAACACTTTCAGCTGTTGGGGTGCCAACCTGTTTGGGTGTGCCTTTTCTAGGTGCCCCTTTTACGGTTGCTTTAGTGGGGAACCAAACAAAAACCGCCATTGGACGAACCTAGAACGTGTGCAGCCCAAAGGGCTCCATGCAAACGTCCCAGGACCATTCGGCCACCACAGCGACAAAGGCCTGCCGCAGAGCTGATGTCTCCCAGCTGTTCTCAAAAAGATACCATCCCTTCATCAATCATAAATCGTAAGCAGGCACCTGTTTTGAGTACAACCAAACAAAGCAACACCATTCCCCTCACTTGCTTGCCACGACCGACCTTGACTAAGCATGGTTGCCAATATGAGAAAAAACAAAAACACAGATCCGTGATTGTGGTATAGTCGCTTTGAGCAAGGAAGGTGCTCGCACTAGAAAGGGCCAACCGGATTCTCACGAACCAACTAACATGAAATCTGACCAAGGGAGGCCTCGGAGAACTGTTGTGCCTCTTTCAAGAATCTTCTGCTGGAATCCATGTTTGTGTATGTGGGTATGAAGGTTACCTAACTGGGGTTGGCCATGGAACTGCAGCGAATCATATACTGAATTAGAGCCATAGCAAGGGCAGCTATTGCAACTTAATAGTAAGTATTAATTGGTGACTATTAGGGGCCAGTAAGGACTGTTCACTGAACTGTTCATGGCCCTCCCATGGCTCCCCTTGCTACACTAAGAAACTCAGGTAAAACCGACTTGCAGTGCCAGCGCCTCATCTCGCAGCCATTGCAGCAGGTTCCGCATGTGGGCTGCAGCCTGCAACGGAACTGTGGAAAAGACGAGGGACAGGGCCATTCGCTTCCCCCTACTGCAACAAAAGTTCCGTGGAAAACAACATATACATACATCTACCCTACATACAAGTGGGTATGTGACGCACTTACTCGTCTGTTACAGTATTATTATGTTTTGGTCCGGGCTTCTGTCACTATATTTTCCCCTCGAGCCTAAGGTACCAAATGACGCTTCTTACACCCTCAAATGAACTGGGTCGTGTTTTGCCGGAAATCAAATTGAGCCCGCCTTAAGGGGCAATTGAGGACATGACTACCATAAGCTAGGTAAGCCCTTTGGCCCATATGACTTGGCCCTTGACTTAACTTGAATGGTGCTGGATGTTACAAAAGGGTGAAGAAGAAGAGGGTTGATGGAACAGGGTTTGTGGAACAGGATTTCGTGGAACAGGGTTCCCCACATTTCCGCTTGACACATCAGCCCAACAAACCCAACATGTTGCTAGCCTCAAATGCCTGCGGACAAACAAAATCCCATTTGTGCATGTGTTAAAGGGAAGCCAGGAAGGAAGCGAACCATTTTGAGATGTCCCCTACTAATTGGAGACGGCCAACTAGACCAAGCACGAAACCTTCACCGACTGTGAAATCGGTTGTCGCCCAAACCTCGGTAGGCAAGGACACGATGTTGTCTGCCCACATCAATCACGGTGGGTTCACCCCTGATGGCTATGTAACCCAATATGTGTAATATGTGTATGTATTTACATATCACATGCTTATGTATAATGTTGGCAACATTGGAGGCAACCACAACACATGGTCGCTAAGGTACGCTGCTGTTCCGGCCTCGTCCTCAGACTCCGCTGGTCTGTGAGAACTGCCGCCTCGGATTTGCAGATTCTTCGATGATCCCCGACAAGCAAGACATCGCACAGAGTCGTATTTGTTCAAGGGTTCTGCAATCTGACCCCTTGACGAAATCAAGTTGAACGGAGGTGCCTTTTGGTCCCTGGCCTCTCGACAAATCACATGGGTGACCGGCGCCGCAAGCCTCTCACTGTCGGTAAGCCAAGTTCAGAGGCTAACATAGAAAAGAACTTTCGTCGCGGGACAAGTCGCTCTAAGCCGCACAGATTCATGTTTCTCAATGGAGGGCGCACACGAAGCCCTTGTTTCAAGGGAGGAGCTTGATTACTATCATTTGAGCTGACACAAGGGGCAACCAGTTTGACTACTATGGTTTGCTTTTTTAAAGACCGGGGGACGGGGGGATACTACATTCATTTGGCACTCAGAGTGCTGAAGCAAAGGGCAGCCGAAACAAGAGAGGGGAGGAGCTTGATTACTATGTGTAAAGCCGGAGGAAGGGGAGGAACTTGATTACCTTGATTGGTCTCCAGAAGGGTTGGTTCTTTGGACTCCTGAAAAACACCGCGCAAAACGGGGGGGGGGGTGGTCGTCTAAAACATGTTGGCTTGAGCCATCAGTCCTAAATCACCTCTTGTCGCTTTCATGGAAATCCTGTGGGGCCTTTGGGGTTCGCACCACCAAAACAGCCATGATTTCCATACCCCATTTGGACGGACAATCCCCCTATCCATGGCCATCGCTCACTGGGGTGCCGCGCTGGGCATGCTGGGAGGTGGGGGCGGTGGCGCTTCCTGGCATGGGACACCGCAGCGCGCAAAGCGAACCTCAGCCCTTCCTTTGAAGAGTTCGCCCCGATGCGCGTCGTTCTTGCATGAAGACAGCACCCTACTGGCCGCAAGATGCGCGGAGATTTCCAGGCCAGCGATGGTCACCGCCTCGGCAAACGACGCTCGTGCTGTCGCACGTGGTGTTGCGAATCTGCCTGCTACCTCTTACGACAGGCGGGATATTGGCGGCAGCCAAAGTCGCGTCAATGCCATTGCGCGTGAGGGTGGAGAGGTGGTCACCGAACTCCACACCAGGAGCATGAGGTGCGGGAAATCTGCATGGAGCCTGCTTCTCAGAACCAAGGCTCACGTGAACTTGTGTGAAATCAGCGACCCGCCGCAAGACACGGCAGATTGCAGTAATTCACAAGCTCCCCGAACTGGGAGTAACACGATCGCTTTACCGGATAAAGGTCCTCTACTTGGGAATTCCTGATCTCAGGTTTTGGTAGTGTAAAAGCTTCAACTGCAAATAAAAATGGGGGAATTTGGATCGTTACCCACCCACGGCCGTATTTGGCCGTATACAACCCGTACTTGTTTAACAAAATGCTGACAATGTGCCGCACATGACCGTATGGCCTTTGCTTGCCCAAGCCATATGAACGGAAATAAACTGCACATCCATGTGAAGAAAGCGGCATGTTGGGGTGCCTTATCCCCAATCGGGGGCAGATTTTCCTTTAGCGGGTACCACGGAGTGAATGTATCGAGGGGTCCCCGCGCACGGTTTTCTGCAGTTTGGCATGGTGATGGCACAACATCAGAGTCCCCGTCGAAATCACGTATTTCTCCTATGGTACCTCGGCGCCCTAAATGGACCATGGATTGCAAAGCATGACCGAACCTCATGTGGGGAGGCGGGCTGAGGGAGTGCGTACACGCCTGAAACATGGAACTCCAAGGATGGGTACAGGCGGCGGGATACCTGAATAGAGCCGTATTAGGGAGTTAATAGGTGTTAGCCACCCCTCGCCCTAGCCCCACTTGGAGTTCTATGACAGCAGGCTAGCGGGAATCCACAAACCATCATGTATGTCATGTGACTTTGCAGTCAGGCCCTTGGAGCTCATAAATAGGTTTGATAAGGCTGAATCGCAAAATCTTATTCAGCACACATCGGAAGCCCTATTGTCCTGCTAAGCACAAGTTGGTCTGCCTTAAGGCTTGACACGGAGCTCTTATATTAAGCACGGCCTGAGCGATCCCTCGATAAGCCATATTCCAAGCTCGTGTTGACCTAGTTTGCTGTTTGTTGCCCCTACCTGACGATTTCTGGAAAACACCCATATGCTGTCAATGCCATGCATCACCACTGGCGAAGATAAACTCACGTGCATTTTTTATAGACCAGCGCATTGCTCCATTGTCTGCAGTATGCCATTGACCAAGCCGCATATTGCACGGAGAAAAAAAGCCGCTCACTGGGTACCTGGCAATCCCATTCCTATTTTTCTAGGCCCTTGTAGTACCGCCTCGTCTCCAGCCGCATGTTCGTCCATGGCGGAACAGCCGCAATTTGCTCAGAACCGAGCCTTGGAAGAACGCGGAGAGTAGGTTGCTCCCAAGTGTCTGCTGCGCTGGTGCTGTTGGGTGATGCGTCGGCTCTGAAAAGCCGAGTGAAAACACAACAACCACAGGTTCTCGTATTTTGTTACACAAACACTCATCAACACATAACAGAGTTATTTACGCACATCATCGTAGCAAATGGAAGTCATTGAGCGGCAACCCGAAACCCGAGGAAGCCCCTTGGCTGGTGATGTCCGCTTTTCTTTCGGGAGTTAACTTGGATACGCATCCCTTGGATTCGAAGCAATCCTCTGAAGCCAACAGCAAGGTGGGACAAGACAACATAAGCTACACTGTTCTAAGGGAAGGAACTTGAATCCTAGTGTTTGTTTTTGTGTGAAAGGAGGCGTCCTCGATTTAGGTGGGTCCTCATATTGGCACGCAAGAAAAACAAGTGAACTATCTGGTACTCGTTGGCTATCAATATTCATGGTGTCAAACGTAAACCCCCAATGTATATAAATCATGTGCACCTATAACATGCGGTCGGTTTTGGCGATCAGCGCACGTCTCTGATTCTATATCATGTGTGTGTTTGTGTTTTCAGAGGTTACCCGTTTGTTTTTTGAGGCAATTCAAGAAAAGGAACCCATTTTTGCGGTTGGTTTTGTCGGCCGCTTGCGAGCCGAGCTTTCTCGTTCGAACTGCGAGCCAAAGCCGCCGGGCGGCCAGGGTACCTGACAGATGTATCTAGATTGGGGCACCCAGGCAATGTGGACATCCGAAAAACGTGGTAGCACCTGAAACAAAAAGGGTATCTGAAGGCTCCATGAACCTTTTGAACATGGAGTCATTACATTACAAAGGATGGGTACAATACTCCGCTAATTGAAGGTGTCATGGAGAGTTATGGTGTATATATCTTTCTCCAAGAGCACCCTAACCAACCCCAATTCACAAACCTATACCTGAGAACTCCATCGGGCTAAAATAAACGTCATCCCAACGGCGGAAACGCGCGCCCCAACGGCGGAAACGCGCGCCCCAACGGCGGAACTCGAGCCCAAGCATCGCAAACGCTTTCTTGATGAGGTTCTTCAAATAATCTTCGCTAAGGAGTGATCCGGATGTCACAACTCGACCAAAGCCGCCTTGCAAGGGGGCGAAAGTCAGTTTTGTGTTGTGTTCAGCGCTTCATGTTGCTACCTTCTGAGGCTGCTTTGCGCCGAGGCCCTGAGCTGATGTGGATCAGCCAGGGGCCAACGGGGTTTCTTGCAAACTGCCGGTGTTTCTTGAATTCAACGGCGTTCTTTTGTTGCGGCGGCAGAAGTTCCCGTCCAAAATCACGCTCGTTTCCGCCGTCGGGAAGTAGGTCTTGCCGGTGCAAGTCAACACATGTGGTGGCAAAGCAAATGGGTATTCCAACAGGTCGCACCGAGTTTCACCAACCCACAAAACCTGGCACAAAACCTTGCAAAGTTGCATAGTCGCGGTCCGAGGTGCGCAGATCTTGCAAAGCAGCCCACGTCAGGCAAAATGCCCACCAACCGCAAAAACGCCGTCGCAAATTGATTAACGCCGCCACAACCCGCTCCCGACCAATAAACCAATGAAAAAAACACGATAAACCATTAACTTCATGAATCAACCAATAAACTAATACCAATTCTGGGCACCCTTACAAGGATTTGCGGTCCAAACAAAGGTCATTCTTAGGGTTCCCTATGGGTGGGTCAATAAACCAACGTTGAGAATCATGTTGCACATTCGAGAACAACATGTTTAGTTTCATATCCTAGTCCTGTTTTGCCAAACGGGTATAGCCTTTTTCGAGGACACCCCCTTTTGGAGTGGTTGCTGTTCAAAGGTTGCTTTTCTGAGAAACTCACACATATCTATGAAGGTTCCTTCGGAATCTCGTAGCACTCATAAGGCCATCGTCTTTGGTTCTAGGTCTCGAAGAGGGCCCAATACCCTTTAAGATTTTATGGATGGTGTCTTTTTGTCGGGGCTGAAGCTCCTCCGTTTTCTTAGGGTTCAGTTGGCTGTAGCAGCTGTTTTTTATGGGCATGCCGCTCGGGCTGTTAAACCATCACGGAACAGCCGCTCATGTCTTTGGGCATGGTTTGGTGATACCACTAGCGATGATGGTAAAAACCAGCTACAGGAATCTGTTTCGGAATGTAGGAACATATGCACGCCAAAGACAAGGGTTTGGGTCAATCCATGTAGCTGGCTTCTGAAAGCAGCTTCTTAGGAGCATATTGTTGGCTACGAGCAGGCTTGGCGTGTTTTGGCTACGGAGTGTTGTAGTTTAAGCTTTGGCGTGGCTATGGTTCTGAAGCTATGGCCGGAGTTGGGGGCATTGTGTTTCTGTTTTGGTTTCATTCTTGGTGGCCCTTTGGTGTGAGCGAACCAGCCTTTAACCTTGTGGATATTGACGGTTTCCAACCCCTCGGGAGGGAGGATGTCATAATGTCTCAGCACAAGACCAAAGGGTCAAGTCCTAGCTTTTTGTTTAATTACCACTAAAATGGCCTTCCCAACAGCTGGTTCGCTCTGGGCAACTCAGTTCATGATCCCCATGCTCCGTGCCTCGCTTTTAGAGAAACCCCATTACTCTTGGGCCCTGCTCGAAACAGGTGGACCCACTTGATGATCGGTTTGAACAAGAAAGCACTTTGCCAACCCAAAAAGGAAACACCAACCCGCCAATCTCGCGTGCTTTTCCGGAGCTAGGCCGGGCAAGGAAGCGTGAACCCTGTCGCTTCTCCCGCCTGATTGCCCGGGTTTAGGGCGTTTAGGGGCACGGTCTCGAAGAGCATGTGACACCAAACAAAAAAAGGTCGAATGTTCATTTGACAAAGTTCCATTGGATCCCAAGTGCCGTCGCAGAAACCTCGAGCTTGAACCCTTGGTTTGACACACTCTCATTGGCCATGCATGAAAGTTTCATTGAATCCCTCAAAATCCCAACAACTCTAAGCTTTCACCCCTTTTGACTAGTTTCGCATCATAGCAAAAATTACGATTGGAAAACCAATTTTGACATGAGCCACGTTTAGAATGAGAGCCGCCCAGGACCTAGGGCGGCCTCCTGGCTTTGGTAAGAAATGAAGTGAGCCCCCCGCTTCTCGTTCCTCCTGCATGAAGCATAAACTACTCGATAGGGAACCCACAAGACCATTTTGGGTGAGCTTTTCACACAACTTCATATGTTGACCAAACAGAATGCAAGGCCGCGCGCCCCAAACCTCAGCCTGCCTAACCTCACCCAAGAGGCGGCAGGTCACAACCCCGGTCCGCCTCCCGCGCGAACTCCATGTGCACATCTCGCAGAAGATTGCTCCAAAGTGACTAATAAAATATAAAACCTATCACAGGCTAATAGGGTTCCTTTGGAATACTTATATATCTTTGGGAGTGTCGCCTCTTTTTGGGGCCCCTGGCACCATGGCATTTGGCGAGCTCACATACTTCAGCGTGTTTCAAGTACTCACACAACAAAGCATGATGGTTATGACCTCTCTGCCCAAAGACTTTGACATTTGAAACCTATATAGCCTTTTTGCTCGAACAGTCAACTAAAAAAAACATGACAGGCAGGCGTCTTTCCGGTCAGCTTGCTGACAGGTGACCACCGTGCCAAACAATCAAGGCTGGTTTCGGCCAGCTCCGCCCTTGTTTGGGAAAAACAGCAACACACAAACCCAGTGGATTCCATTTGCCCCTGAGGATAATCGGCCATGTTCCCCGTAGTCTTTACAGAGTGGGCCCCTGAGTGCTATCCAACCACTGTCCCGTTTTCTTAAACAGCTGCTTCTCGAATGACTCTAAGCTAAGTACAGGTAAATGCAATGGATTCGGAAACTGAATCTTCTGCGCCATGGTGAAACGGACACTTCTATGCCCGATCCGGCAAAGCAGCTTCTCGGCGTGGGCTGCGTTCTTCACGTTTCTCCTACGGCGCGCTTCATGCCCACCTAGAGTCCATGGGCACCTCGTTCAAATGAACATATAAGTATGATGTGTGCTTGAGAACCGTTTCGTACGCATATGTTTTCCAACATGTTGAAACAATTGATGTCCAAACTTTCCCTGTCCCAGTGCAAGAATGCCTTTCCAAGTCTGTTCCGCTTAAAGTACTTCCCAACGTCCTCGGCCGAGGTGAAGGACCCCTTTAACCGCAAACAAACCCAATACTTATTTGGGGACCAGTTATTCATCTGATGGGAAGTTCCCAGGCATTGTAGAAGAGGGTTTTTGAAGAACAAACAACAACAACCAAAAGGAACCTGGCTCAAACTTGGCCAGGCGATGTCAAAAAAGCATCCCAAAAAAGAACGTTTACGGAGCATTATGTATGGATGTTTACTGAGCTGAGTCCATCAAAGTCGCATCAAACATTGCCTCACCGACCAAGGCAGGAACTTTCGGAACCCCTCAAGATGTACTTTCAGTGACTGTGGTCAAAGCCACCCCAACGCTCACTTCTGCAGTGGCCGCAACAAAACAAAGTCCGGGAACTCAAGTGAGCGAACCGGAGCCGACCAGCCCCACCCCTTGTCCCCAGTGCAACCCGACTAACCCAACTCCTGCCGTGCGAGGATTCGGTTGCGCAGGGCCAGCAGCCTGGCGTTTGCGGGTCTCATTTTTTGAGGGGGCCTCAAAATTGATCTCTGGACATCTTGAAACCATAATTTCGGAATACTAATCTTGATAAAGTCACTTTAATGGACCCGCGGGTCATGAACATGTATGAAACTTGTCATCATCAGTGAGGCTGCTTAAAACCTGTGGCTTTCGCCAGTGCCAGCTGTCCGATGGTCAACCCTCCATCCTTCGTACTCAAGTATGCGCTTTGGACGCCGCATCTCGCAAAGCTCAAGGGAGCAGAGTCCGAGAAACCCAGGTCACCATCCAAACCCCGAATACACGCAGGGTGAAAGTAGATGGCACAATTCCCTTTGGAGCTAGTCATCCTGTACATCCCCAAATCTGCGTGACTCTTGGCATCGACTTTCACCCTGTTGTGGCCAAGCTACCCATTGCATCAAGCCAGACAGGCTATTGCGCCCCACTCAATTATATAGATGTTCAGGGAGTTGACTAAAGCCTACTAAACTCAGTTTCCAAGGATTGCAGAGGAGATAGTTGGGAATTTACTGGAGGCTACTCACCACCTGGCAAACTCCTGGACCACCTAAGTTGGGGTACTCCAAGCGCTCGGGTTAACAGTAGGTCGTTAGTGAACCCTAGTAACAATCCACTTTGGCGACCAGCAACCGGACTCAGTGGACAGTAAGGACCCCGAATTGTAATTTGCCATGGCTTCGTGGCTGAGTGTGGTTGGTTAAATTGCAATATGGCAGGGGCAATCCACCGTGAGGGGGTAAAAGCCATGGTTGCTGACCTACAAACTACGCTGCCCTTTAAAGCTGGCTTGCAACAAGTTGTCTGGAAACCTGGCTGCTCCCAACAATACCTGGACCATTTTGCAAAGGCCCCCCCTCATGGCTAGGGGTGAAGGCCAGACCTGCAAATAGTAACCCAGAAAGAGCAAGTGCAGTTGACTCATTTGGGCAATACAGCGCCCAGCTCGTAACATGTGAAATTGGCAGCGGTACCCCTCCCCCCCCGATTCTCATGCGAAATTCGGGTGCCCCCCTCATGTCCCCCTCATGGAGGCCCCAAACCAACAATAGAAATAGTTCTATCAGTAAAACGGAATGGCTGTCCAAACCACTACCCCCTCGAAACTATGGGGCAAATACCCTTGGGTCCTGCTAGTGGCTTGAAAGCATCTTAGATTCCTGCAATTTACCATCATCCACGATCACACCTGCCCAAAGGAGCTGAGCATACAAGGTGAGGGTTTTGGAACCCTGACTAAGCCAGAGACCCTGCCAACCACGCCGTCAAAAGACTTGTCCAGGGCATAGGCATGAAAAGAGTCACAAATTGAGTTCTTGGTGATTTGGCGGGGTCTTTGGGGGGTGGGGTGAGGCCGAGTTGAGGTCAGTTGAATTCTGGTAATTCACGAAAACTGTCCTCACATATTTGTGCCCTCTGTTCCCCATGCTGTAGCTTGGGCCAACGCCAAGGAGGCTTTGATCACGCTTGCGGGAGAACTCCGGGAGGAGCGAAACAAGAATATTTGATGAGGAGTCCCTGTTGTGGCCCTGCTCCACCATGCAAAGGGCAAACCTAGCATCCTTGTCGAGCCTGTCGACAATGTTGTCGAACCCCAGCTTTCTTGCACGCTTGGCTGGTGCCTGGATCCGGTAAAGTGATACCCTCAAACTTATCCTTTAAGTTGTAGTTGAAATAGCAGCCAGACGGCAAAGTGTTTTTAAGCACCCTCAAGATGCAACTGCTTTCAAGGACCCAAATATACCGAAACTGGAAGACGAAAGCTGCAATCCCGTCGATTAAGCATTGGTTGTGAGGCTTGGTACCCTTTCTGGGGATAGTGTCACGCAAGATACTGACAAACATGTTTACCCACTGCTACCCAGGTTGAGCTACCACCCCTCTTTTTGGGTGCCCGTTTTGGGGTTCCAGTTCTCCGATTTAGAGACCAACCATATCCAACCGTCCTCTGTCCTGCGCTCCACGCGAACCATGGCCTCGGGTTCTGCATCAAGCGCTCGGATCCTCGCCAGGCTCTCAGGACATTTGGAGAACAGTGCTTCAAATACAAACAACTTGAGAAGAACAACAAGAACATAAAACATAAAACAAGGCTCCAGCCGCTCACTCTACCACGCGGGCGTAAGCCCTCCCCCTTTGCTGCTGGCGGCATACCAAGGGCCAAATGCAGCGACAAACGTCTCTCAGGAACTTGATCGAAGGGGTTCTGGTTGAAGGGCTGTTAAAACAAGTCTAGGGGGCAGGGGAGCCCTAAGATCACAATCGGGTGTTGCAGCATGATGAATGCTGGTTTACAGCAAACAAGGCGTGATGGACCCCGGGTCGATGTTGCGGCAGCCACCTTCTCTAGGAACAATTCAAAACAACATTTACGTATGTGTGTGTGTGAGTGAACACATGTATTACAATAATTTATATGCATACAACTGTGGCTCAAAAACATGTACCAAAATGGCACCTTAGTAAATGGAACCAAAGACCAACACCTGCGTAACCCTAGCCCTTGAATTTTGAGCCACACCCATATAATGACGCGCACAATACTTTTTAACAACATGTCTATGCACACATACATGCTTATGTCTACATACCGCATTGCTTCGGTTGGGGGATAGTGCATACTTTGATTGAAAAAGATGATGCTTGACTAGGCGCCCAGTCAGACAGCTAAGTAACTAGAAGGCCCCTACGTCAGAATATGCCTCTGCTATAAGTTTGCAATTTGGGGGCACTAGGGAGGTGGTTCCCTATTGAAATTGTGCCCATGGTCTTGATACCGCCGTACTTGCAGCCTCCAGCAAATGATCCCATTCTGAGGAAAAACACAGGAGGTAAAACCGAGGTGAAAGGAACACGCTACTGACCTACCAGAAAACAATGGTTTTTAAGTACTGCTTCACGCGGGACTCTTTATGGGCCTCAAGCTCGTTTCCAAATCAGGGCCATGCCAAAGTTGAGGCGCCCTGTCCTTCAAGACAAAAGGATTCCGGCCGCGCTGCACCTCAACGAGCAATTTAATGACTGAGTTCTGGAGGCTTTATGGGGATTGGAGGTAGCAGAGGGTTTGAAGAACATATTTCATTCCATACCATGCCGGTGCTACGGAGACGTGGCCGGATGATTGGAAACTGGGTTTTAAAGGGTTCTAGAGGACGTGACAGGCCCTTAATATGTCTCCTTTCAACATCATCCTTTTTTGTGACCAAAATGGTGATGCTTCAATCTGCCCCCAGAGAAGCATATAAAGACCCTCTGCTGGAGCGGGGTTGAACAAATGCTTGGAGGCTTTTAAGGTTGCAGGACTAGAAAAAGCCCAGCACTCGGGTTGTGTCAACCTGAATATTCAGAGGGACCTCAAAAACATTTAGGTAAAGAAACTTACAGGATACTCTACAGGCAGTTTGTCAAGTACCCGCCACAACCCGGGTCTTGGCCAACTTCCAAAGATTTCCCGTGCCTGGTTTCTTAGACATTCAGGGTGATGGCTCCAACAAGCCCCGAAAGGAACCGAGCTACTTTTAGGTCCGCATCTTGATCCGAGAGAGCAATCTGGCATTGCGACCAACAAAGTTCCATGTTGAGTTCCTGACACCTGCCAACCCTTTTGGTGTCCAACGACAACGCATTCGGGCAGACTATAATCGGCCAACCGGAGCAGCTTTATCAGGACCAGCTTCGCTTCTGTGTTTTCTTCTGAGTGTGTCCGAAAACATTGTGACTCCAGAGTAGTGGATAGAGTCAGGCTTTCCAAACAATTTTGGACTCCCCCCCTATTACTGCAACTGGGTTGATTAATCCTGTGTTCCCAGTAGCGGACACCCATTTTGGATGGCGGGTAAGATCAAGCCGGAAAAATACCCACTGCAGTCTGGAGGTACCCAATTCAAATTTGTCATGTTTTACCTCCACTGTTCTTTCTACGTTCGGCGTGTTGAGAACATTGCCACAAAGAACAATGTCGGCTGCTTCTCAAGCGAACAATGGCTGAAACATCAAACTTTGGAATTTGAGGACACCCCCCCACACCCACATGTGGGACTAACAAAGAAGCAAGGATGCGGGCAGATTCCTGTTCTGGCTGGTGAGCCATCCCGAAGTCTCCTTGCCACACCCTCCCATTCCAATGGCCTTCTCACCAGTCCCCGTGAAAGCACCGGAAACGGCATCAATCCATAGAATCAGACGAAACTTTGGTCCATTCTGGTTCCATTCTGGTTGTTGAATAGGGGAAAAAACAAAACAACTACGCGTGCCCTTTGGTTTCCTTGCCTGACATGCCCAGACCCATAGACCACATGAGCCCCACGCAGGAACCTGCACCGGCCGCGAGCTTCCAAGCCTCGCACTTGGGCCCCTTGTGGTTGGTGGATGTTGAACAATTGTTTGGGCAACCTGGGAGACACGTCTATATATAAACATATCTTTATAAAAAGAAACATCGGCTATGGATATACAAAAAGTCCGCAATAGGCCATTTCTCCCACAGGTGCTCCAAAGACCCTCCGGGTTTCATCTGGTTTATAGCGCAGCCCGGGACTGGAGTCAAGGGGTGAACCAAGCGCTGCTCAATTGGGAGTCTTTTCCCAAAATCATGGCAAACGGACTACCCTGCTTCATATCAACTTATATAGAACACACCAACTCACCAACCCGGCTGCATGTTCTGTTTTTCGGCAGTCGTTTCCCTTGCTTCGATCTTCTGAGCGTCGACCAAGCCACAAGGCTTGATATGTGGCATGCTTCCTTTCCGTTTTCGCTTTGCAACCAGCTTCTACCCTCAAATACTTTCTGCCAGTATCATTTGAGGATAAGGACAAATGCAAGATGCGGGCAAATACTATAATTCACAAAACAGAAATACGAAACTCCCAAGCAAGGGACCTTCATCATAGATCGTTCTAACTTTTATCCAGCAACTAACTGTTGATCCAGTTTGCACCACAGCAACCCGAAGTGTACATGCCAGTGATCGAGAGCTAACTTATCAGGGGCTTGCGACAAACAACATACACACGCAAACCAGGTAGAACCGAAAAATAACCCAGTTCTCCAGTAGATGTTCAAGCGGAAAAAGGGTCCCCCCCGCCCAATATGAAACAAGGACGCACTCCGCTCGAGGTCTGGGCAACCATGCCCAGTTCGGCAAATGGACCGGAACCTTCAGTGAGCCCGCTAAAGGGGTGAGTTCAGTGCCGGCGAAGATCCAAGGACGGAACATATCTTGAGCAGTATCACATCGACGCATGGCACTGAACCAGTATTCTTGATGTTCGAAATACCCCCATCACCCGGTGATGCTTGATCTTGTCAACCGCCGGTCATCCAGCTGGCCCTGATATCTTGCCATTCATCCAAGCCAACCTGCAAGTGGCACATCTAACTGAAACAGAGCCAACACTCATGGTCGGAGCCGCGCGAACCCCGTGTGCGCAATGTTGACAAACATGTTGCTGGAGAGGCAGGAGCCCAATATTCAATAAACTGCAAACGCGGTGCGCTGCTTAAATTTGTTGAAGCAGGTCCACCCTCCTTGCCTCATTCGAAAAGGTATGCCATTTCGCCAACTCCACGCCCCGATTGTTTGCCCCCACGCCTGATCACGTGCGGCTTCCCGCAGGATGCCGTGCAAATGGCTTTGGCCCGCCCAAGCCTTGGCAAGCCAACGGAGGTTTGTGGTCCCATGCCTATGCTGAGTAACCCGCACAAACAGAAGCTTTCAATGCACCTCTGGTGTTGCGTTGACCCTCCTCTAAGGAAAAACAGGACCGCTAAAAGTGTAAAGTCCTATATTGGAAGCTCCCTTTGTATTCCGATACCTTCCGAAATGGGTGGGCAAAGGATCAACCATGCTAGACTGTAGTAAGCCGAGACCCATGGATAGGCAGGATCGAATCATAAATGCTGCTCCTCCAACAGAACACCTCCTTGTACTTTCCGAGGCAGTGTTTGGGGGATCCCTCAAGAGAGGGGGATGATTTTGCATGCAGCCGCCTCCTTGATACTCTGGGATCTAGTCCAAGGGAGCCTGCGGGTTTCTCGGAATTTGGGTCCTTGGATTCTCGAAGCCTTATCCATGAGCTCGCTCGGGCCAAACCGATACACCTGTTTTGTTTAATCAATACCTAGGGCTTCAAGAACCTGTTAAAATGTCGTACCCTGACAAAAACATCGTTTTTTTCTGAATTCTCTGAAAACATCGTGTAGGAAAAAGAACAAACACATCGTGCTTTTGATAGAACCCTTGAAGATGGGCATCTGAGGCCAAACACTCAGTTGGAGCAACGGAGCACAGGCAAGTGTCGAGAGTGGAATTCACACAGGCATCACCTATTAAGCTTTCAAATGCGGGGCAGGGCTCTGTACTGACGATGCTTCGATTTGTAAGGCCCACATTGATGAGACTGGCAGCCAGGGTGCGCAGCTGGCTTCAGTGTGTAACTACCTTCGCCGCAAAACAGGCACCTAAAGATGCCTGAAGACTGACGCCAGGTTTGAAGGGGGTGCTGGAATCCCGAAGCCTCCTTTTGGGTGCAGAAAAGCCGGGGTGACACTGTTTACGATTGTTTTAGGATGTGTGCGGTTGTTTTGTTTTGGGCGAAATGTGGTGGAATCTTGGCGGCTAACCCGTAGAAACCCGTAGAAACCCGTAGAAACCCGTAGAAAACCCGTAGAAAACCCGTAGCCCTACCAAAAACATTGTGTTTTTGGAAAACATTGTGTTTTCTAACTCGTTGCTAAACCGTGGGAAACCCGTAGTAACCCGTAGGAAACCGTGGAAAGTCTATGCTTTTTTGGGGTCAATCCCGGATGCGCTAATTCGAGATTTTGGATGGACATCAACGCAGTCGTGGGCAAAAATCGGTCTTTGGCTTGGGCTTGCGCTGTTCGAAGCCCGCATGCTCTCATCCGGCATTGCTGCTTGACAAATGGCATAAGCTTGGCAGCCTTCTTGGAAGGATCAAGGTGGCACTTTTGACTATTTAGGTCCCGGCGTCAAATTGGAATTGAAAATGACGTGCTGTGAATGCGAAGCTGATTTCGCAGTGAGCGCAAAAGGTGAGAGGGCAATGTGAGATTCTGAGGGTGAGACGATGCTTTTTGATCGGATTATGAGTTGAAGGAATCCATGGGAACATGCTTGAACTCGAAAACATTGTGTTGTCCGAAAACATCGTGTTTTCCAAACAAAACTCGTGTTTTTGTTTGTTTTTTTTAAGGTATGACATGTTCATCGGTTTTTGTGGCTTCTGGTACTCATAGATTTGCATACTTTATTATGTTTATACTCGACTGGTCGCACGAACATTCCCAGGAGCTAACCCAATTTCATGACAAAATGGATGAAGATTGAGATTCAAGGTGGTTTTATGTGGTCGGACCCTTCAAAGGTGCAGGGAAGACCTGCGCACCTTTACCTTCACTCGTTCTTCGCCTGCTTCCATTTTCGAGCACGATTCAGTGGCTGAGTACGATGCCGGTGGCAAGTGCGAACGCCTAGTACGATTGTTGACGTGAGTATAAATGTCAGCAAAGAATGGTGATTGCACTTCAGATATGTCAATGGATGCAAATAAGCATTTGCACTTTCTAACTATCAGGGTTGTCGCTCGACCGACTAATTCGATTTGGAACTGGAGGGGGTTTGCGCCTGAAACGGAGGTCCAAAGAAACTTTCAACAGGGGGTCTAAAAGGCCCCCCGGGTTCCCCTTTAAACATCAAGCCACGCTTTCAGAAGAATCACCGCACCCCTGAACCCTGCATGGGATGCTGTTCCCTGAGGTATAACCTCTTGTAGGTTTAATGGAAAACCATTTCTTTCCCGAAACCAAAAGGTTTAAGGGGTGATTCGGCCACACCAAAGACCAGCCTTCGGGAGACTGACGAGGTTCTGCGAATGATCCATGGGCCCCCGTGCAGCCAGGCTCACGGCATCCTCCGGCGGCTCCTTGGCCCTTTGAAGCACGTCCTGAGACGTGCGCAGTCGCATTGCGCGCGCGGGGTTCCCACAAGTACACCCTGAACACCCATGATTCCCTTTGTGGGCTTGGGGTTCAGGGCTTGCGTAACCTGCAGCCGCTTCGCTTGTTCTCCAACCAAAAACAAAACCGAGCTCCCCGGCTGCTCCGCGGCTGAGCAACAGCTCAGTGACTTCCAGGTGCCCGCAGCTCACCGCCACCTAGCAACCAAGCCATCGGGTCATGGGGTGGTTGCAAAACTTGGCTAAAGAGCCAATCCTCGGTCCCCTTTCATGAGAAAACCGCAGAAGGTTGTTGAAACTGGAGGTTGGCCCAACCCTCCCCCAGGCCCCCAACCTCTGGTGGCCATCTTTTTTTTGGGGACTACACTCCTGATATCTCCTGATTCACATGGAACCCAACAAATGTGATTATTCGAAGTATCTCCTTTTGGGGGACTATCTTCGGGGTTCCAGGCTGAGTTGCAGGGGGGTAAAACATCATGTATTGAACTTCCCAAGTGTGATCGACTTGCGGTTTGGTGGGATTCTCAAAACTGAACTATGACCTGAACCTCCAGGGACTCCAGCAAAACTTCACGCGAACAACTGGCACACCTTTTTCTTAGCAGTCTTCGACGGGACACTCCCTCGAAAACAAGGAAGGCACCAGTGGAGGTCTGCGGACTTCTTGCAGCCCCGTCAAGAGACATTCAGAGCACCTTTCACTTTGACTTTGATTCGTTGGCCTGGCACCCCTTTTCTTGTTGGACAATCTCAGCCCGCCATCAACTGTCCGGACACAACCTTGCTAGGTGCCACCATAGCGCACAAAAGCCATGATTGCTTCACTCCAATTTTCGATTTTGTGTCCACTAGAATACAGGGTCACAAGGTTTGACATTAAACAAGGCCAACCATCAAGGGCGGGCCAGATCCCTTTTTTTTGCCGCGCGCATCCCAGATTCATCTGGCAGAACGTATTTCCATGACGTGCCTTGCTTGCACTGATTTAAACGAATTTGCTCTCACCTGCGTCTTCAAACAAGTCAGTAACTCCACCCGCTCAGCGTCAATCAGTTGCAGGAAGGGCCAGCATTAATTGCTGCTTGTGCGACGAGGCAGTCCCGGAATGCCGAGAGGCAAAGACATTGAGTTGTTTGTGTCGCTCTGGAGTTTGTCACCAGGACGAAGTCAGGAGGCGGCGGGAGTTGAGGCTTGTTCTGGCTGACAGCGCAAAGCTGTGTCTTGGCTTCCACGTAGATGCAGAACTACGCTTGGAGACACCCGAGAATCTCCCAAAAGCGGGGGGTCGTGCCTGCATTTGCACTCACGTGGACCTTTGCCTGGCGCCCCAAACACAAGCGTGGGTTTGAAAGCCATTTGAACAGAGCAGAAATCTTTTGAGTTCTGCCGGCTCTGGGGCGCCGGGCGCCATGGGCGGGGGGCGCCCCGGGGCGGCGGGCGCCTGGGGCGCCGGGTGCCCGGGGCGCCGGGTGCCCGGGGCGCCGGGCGCCTGGGGCGCCGGGCGCCTGCCTCCACCTTAGCATCCAACAAGCTGAAAGAAGCCTTGCCAAACGAAATGTCACTTCGCAACAAGTGTTTCCCGTGAAGTGATGTCAAGCAGGACCTGGCAGAATAGGGGGACCGTAGGTGTCCCGTGGCAATTGCGACGCAGCTCGCTTTGCTTTCAGGGAAGTTGTGGTTTGGACGCTGTTTTCCTGTGGTTCTCCTTCGTTGTTTTCGGAAACGGCGCAGGCCATTTCTCAAGTGTCAGTGCTTTAGAGCTTCCGGCTCATTCTGCAGACATGTCCCTCTGCTTGCTTTAACGTCGTACAAGCGCAGCGAGTGTGGTTTGTTTGCTTGTAGGATTTTGTGTCACAAGTGAGGCAAAGGGCAGCGCAGCTGGAGATACATTCAGTTGCAGACCAGCTTGGGCGTGAACCCCAGTCAATTCAAACTGTGTTGCACGATTACGAAAAGTTTTGCCTGGTCCGCCGGTGTGCGGCCACATCGGAGGCGTGTAGCGCCTTCGCTCCCCGTGGCTTGAGTCGCGGAGTTGCAGCAGAAAATGCGAGACGCTCGCGCCACACTCCGTTTTGTTGCGATTGGCAACGCACCTCTGGTTCTCAGAAACAACCGGCGCAAAGAGAAACAGCCACAGCGCAGGCGCGGCCACCTGGCGGCTCCTTTGATTTTTTTCGGACAATCGAGGGTCTCTTGCAAGGGACCCCCAAAAAACCAGTGTAGGGCCTACACTGGTTTTTTGGGGGTCCCCTGCCAAGGGACCTACAGCTGATCTGCACGTCTTTTGCAACCTGAAATCATGTGGGGGTCCCTTTCAGGGGACCCCCAAAAAACCAGTGTAGGCCCTACACTGGTTTTTTGGGGGTCCCCCAGAAGGGACCCCCGTTTGACCAAAAAAATCGCAGGTTGCTGTGATAACCTCCCCCCCCCCCCCACACGTGGTTAACCCAGGCTTTCCGTCTGCCTGTCAGAGATCTGCGCACTACGGCGCCACCAACTTGACCGGACCCTCCCTTGTGAGCAGCCTCAAGCTGGACACAAGTGGCAGGCCACTGCTTGCAAACGGAAAGTCCACGACTTTGGCTGCGCAAGCTTGGCCAGCGAAGTCGAAGACAAGACAGCGGTCACTGCTGAGTTACGGGTTCACTTGCACAAGGGCATTCCTCTACTTGTGATGGGTATGGGAGCACAGACAGGTTAGTGATTCAAGTCAAACTTGGTGCAGAAGATCCAGTTTCTCGTGCGGCTGAGCGCCCGCGCAAGTATAGGTGGCTTTGCTCTCGCCCGCCCCCTCTCGCTCAACCCCCACTTCTGACACACGTTTACACACGCGCCCGCCTGTTGTGTTCAATGCGCGGTCTTCCTCCAGATCCATACGCCTTATCCCACCCCACAGACAGCAGTTTGCATGTGTATCTAGGCGACACAGTGCGGTGGCTTTTTGCCTTGTTTCTTCCTTGCCAGGCGAGACCGATCCGCGCCTATGGTGAGGCCCTTCGCGCAGCCAACGCGGGCACTGCTGCCGGCCTACCACCGCCGCTTGCCCAAACCTGGCCATTGCGGCGACAGCCTGCAATACGCCGATCATTTTGCAAAGCCATGCTCAAAGTGCGAGAATGACAAATGGCGCGGAGCTAACTTGACAACCCGCCATCTTGCCAGCTGCGCCGGGGAAGGGGCCAAGTCTTCGAACCTCTTTTTGGCGCCTCGTGTGCCTGGAGGGCAAACAAAAAAACCAATGCTACGGCTGCTTTCGTCACAAGCAAACAGATGTTGCTTGGCTGTGACTATGTCTCGCCGTGTGGTTTAGCATGCCTTCCATGATCAACGTGCGCACCCTCGGTGGTTGGATCCTGCAGCGCTTTGCTCAGCCGCTATTGTTCGGATGCGGCCACGCAGTCTCCAGGTTGGAGGCATGCTTGGCGCGCGTGTCGAGACAGAGCTACCCATGTCTACATTCCAGGAGATGCGCTGCATTTTCGGGGGCATTGCGGGACTTGCCAGTAAGAAGGTCATTGCGAGAGTGAGCCATAGTGCTTGGCCACGAATACGCGGGTTGCAATCCTGAAGCCCTCCAACTAGGCAACGTAGTGCTGGAAAGTATGCCAACGCGGCCTCGTGGCAAGAGACTGGATGTCTATGTTGTTGAGACGGAATAAGGTCTAAACAAGTGCGAGAAAGACATAATCCGGGCACTGATTCTTTGGCCTTGATTCCTTTATGTAAAATGTCAAATCTTGTGACCCTGGAATAGCGTGCCCAAAATGTGGAAAGTCCATGAGTTGTAGGTCCCCACCACGGCTTGTCACTAGCAGCAGTGCCCGGCCCCTTGCAGACACTTTCCACCTGCAGCGGCGAAAGCTGGTCCACGGTGACCACCGCGACCTGCGCGGTGCGCTGAAAGAAACGAAGCCGAGCTCCGAAAGAGGCAACTCGAGCGCTGTTTATTCTAGAAAATAAATACCAACAAAGTGCCTAAACATGAGGGAAGGGGCAAATTATGTGTGTAAGTGTTGATTCCTGATTATCTGCTTTGCCCGCAATTGTACTGCTATGTTTTGTTTTTGTGTGTTTTGTTCTTCTTCTTTTTTTCCGAAAAGCAAAAGAAAAAAGGCAAACTTTGGACCGAAAAATGGAACATCCAACAAACAAACAAATCATGGTAAATGATTACCTCACTTCCCTGAGTGGATTGGCCCAAACACACAAACAAACTTCTTCTTTGCCACCAGAATGGTCTAGACTCAATAAAGTCCAACAAAGAAACAAACCCACGAATTCACTGCTACCCTTTGGGGATTCACATAGGTTCGCGGTATGGGTTGGGCCTATCTTCCAAACGGGCAGCTTGTAATAAAACTAATCAAAGGGCACCAAACCCTTTTCAGATCCCCTCACGAAGTGCTCCGACTGATTCGTTCTCGCGGAATCAAGTCCCAACCTGCTGCGGGAAGTGACACTGAGAAACAACTTGCCTTCCCAATATATTCACTTCGGCCCGGTCTCAACGGAACATGCCAAAGGCTTTGACGAGAACTCTATGGATCGTTCTTGAAAGGAGGAATGCAACAACTAGGATTCCCATCCCTATTGTCACCACTTGATCGCCGTTCGCGACTTCCCAGAGTATGACAGACAGTGGTCAACCAATTGCCCACATACAGAAGCCATGCCAAGGTACATGCCAACAAAAAAGAGCCTCATGTGCGGCTTAGGAGTGGGGTATTCCCATTTAGGGCATGCAAGTATGACCTCAATCTTAAACAACACCCCCTTTACGCTAGTCCCTGCCGTTCAGACACTCTCACATTGTTCCCATAACTCGCACAATGTAAGGCCTCGTCGCCACGGAGGACGCCGAATCGAATACGTCTGCACCGGACGGACCTTGGGAATTCTGTTCCCTTTTGCTTTCCCCTCTCACTGTCTTTTTCCAGGGTGCCGGTTTGGGGTTGTTTAAAAAGGGAACCACAAGACTGCCACCAATCTTTGCCCCATGTTGGCAAAGACCCTATGGGTACGGTTTGATGCAAACGCTTTTGCGGCGCAGACCCTGCGGCCGTTGGTTGTCTTCCCATTTGGTCTAGACCCTTCAAATCCCCAGAGCCAATATCCAAGCCACCAGATAGGCCTGGAAGAAACCGCAAAAACAAATCGTCCAACCCAGTTTTGCACAGTGACGGGATGATCCCTACTCTCAGACCAGCCCAAGCGAGACGTCTAGGCAAACCTCGTTCAGTGGCTAGACATTTCAGTAGCTAGACATTGCATAATATACACGTTGCTCTCAAACACTCTTAAACACACTCTTGCAAACACAAGCAAGCAAGCAAGCAAGCAAGCAAGCAAGCAAGCAAGCAAGCAAGCAAGCAAGCAAGCAAGCAAGCAAGCAAGCAAGCAAGCAAGCAAGCAAGCAAGCAAGCAAGCAAGCAAGCAAGCAAGCAAGCAAGCAAGCAAGCAAGCAAGCAAGCAAGCAAGCAAGCAAGCAAGCAAGCAAGCAAGCAAGCAAGCAAGCAAGCAAGCAAGCAAGCAAGCAAGCAAGCAAGCAAGCAAGCAAGCAAGCAAGCAAGCAAGCAAGCAAGCAAGCAAGCAAGCAAGCAAGCAAGCAAGCAAGCAAGCAAGCAAGCAAGCAAGCAAGCAAGCAAGCAAGCAAGCAAGCAAGCAAGCAAGCAAGCAAGCAAGCAAGCAAGCAAGCAAGCAAGCAAGCAAGCAAGCAAGCAAGCAAGCAAGCAAGCAAGCAAGCAAGCAAGCAAGCAAGCAAGCAAGCAAGCAAGCAAGCAAGCAAGCAAGCAAGCAAGCAAGCAAGCAAGCAAGCAAGCAAGCAAGCAAGCAAGCAAGCAAGCAAGCAAGCAAGCAAGCAAGCAAGCAAGCAAGCAAGCAAGCAAGCAAGCAAGCAAGCACCATTAAACACACATAAAACAGTGTTTTCTCTTCTGACTCCCCTCTGATTGTTTGAAGGGGGCCGTTTCAAGACAAATGACTCCAGGTCCTGGGGAAGACAAGCGGAAAACCAAGCCCATGTTTGTGCCCTTGTGGATTGAATATTTAGGACAATTTAGGACGGCTCCGCGCATGAAGTGTGGTAAGTGTGGCAACTTAGGCTCCGGGCGAGTCCGCCTTGGCGTTTAGCAAAAGCTCCACACAGCCGGCAGAGCCCGCCTCCGTGCGCGTCAAAGGGTTCCCCTGAGTTGGGTTTGTCTCATGGAACCCCACAATCTTCGGTGTCCTTTGGCCTCCCTGTCTGCCAACCCCAACAAAGATGCCCTTTGGAACAAGCACCCTGCACAGTTTGTATTCAGGATGTAGGTGTGGTTCCTGGGGAAATTGAAGGTGGCTTCCCTTGGGATTCAGCAAAAACGCAGCCAGCAATCGCAGAACCAGGTTGGGACCTTTGCTGGAAATTTAAAGAGACACCAATGCGACTCAAACGCTGTTGAACAATTTGGGCGAAAAGGGAGGACTTGGGGCTGAGAAGCTATCACCAAGTCTTCCCTTGTGCTCAAACCTTCTCCCGACTCGAAGGCATATTGCAAATGTCACAATGCACCAACTCAGGGAGAAAGCGCGCCACGTGCACCACTCGTTTCGTAAAGCCGTCGTAAAGCCACGCGCACACGCCTGCGCAGCGCAGTGCAAAGGGGAGTAGCCCAAGCAAACGCAAGAGTCCTCGCACTGGCTTGCAAAAGCCAAGGCACACATACCTAGTTCAGTCTTCCCTGAGCACATCTGATATATATGTGTCCATTTCGAGAAAATCAAAAGAACATCTCACCCAAAAAAAGCTCACTGACAAGAAACACACTCAATGGGACCTGTTCTGGTGCCCGCCGATTTCCGCTCATTTTCCGGAAGAAAACTTGGCACATCGTGCCAAATCAAGGTTTCCGCTCATGTCACGTGTTTCCGCTCAAAGTCTGAAACGGCCAAATCAACGACTTATAAAAAACTGCTGGATTCACAAACAAACAAAAGGAATTCCAAGCAAGAAATCTTCATTATGGGTGAGCTCGCTTTGCACCAGGTAAGCTCTAAAGTACTTGCCCAGAAACATCTGGATCGAACCGTCCCCCTAAAACAAAACAATGCCATGTCCAGTTTGGGGTCCAGTATGGTCCAGTTCGGGTTTCGCACAAGCCCTCTGGATCAAGGAGTGGGATTCGCTCCTTGATCAGCTTTTAGGGGGAGTCCTCAGATTGACAAGGGCGGATGAACCCGAAGTCAAAATCTGGCTTGGTCGGTCTTTTAATTACTCCCCTCCCCCCCGAAATCAACAGGGTGTTTTTCAATATAGGTATCGGTCCCCCTCCAATTCTTGGATTTCTTTTGGTTTCCCTATGCCAACCTAGACTGTCCACGAGTCCACCACCCTGAGAAACTCCCCTTCAGTGGCTTGCAAGTCCAATCAACAAATCCAGGGATTTCAAAAAGATCTAAGGGCTGGCTCAACCAGCAATTCCTTGTGATTATAAATCTCGACGTGGAACACCTGATTTGATGTCCGCCAACATTGTTGAGGGTGTTCCCTGTGTGTTGGAGCTTATAGCCATATCAAGATCGATCTTGTGCCATGGACGGTGCTGAATTGCGATGGGGACCGTCATTTGAATAAATAATTTGTGAAATTCAGCCGGATTCCTGCGAATAGTATGTTCCTTCGCAGCAGCGCCGCTATGATTCACAGCCCGGAAAGAAGGATATGCATAGATTTGCATAGACAGGGACCTTCATCAGGGAGCGTGTTTGCCCACAAACGGTGCACGATGTGATCGATTTGCAGTTTAACATCGTTCCTACCTCAGCTGTTGCCAACCCCAACCAAAATGAGATGGTTGATTTCGGGCACATTCAGGTGTAAACTAGCTCAAAAGATATCCCAGAACCGGTGGTTGGGCCCATTCCCCATCTCCAACGAGCGCGTCTCCTCGTGCAGCATGCACTTACCTAAGAGCAAACACTGCAACACTGGAAGCTGCTTTCATGGTTCTGCATCACACCAATAACTGGTTACAGTAAATACTCCATTTGATGTTCTTTCCAGAGAACTGGCTCATGTGGCTAAAGTCTCAATGTACGAACTCCTCGTATAAGTCCCTTTCTGGACCAATGGTTGATTCGCTTATTCGGAAACTGAAGGCTGAATTGAGTATGCACGTGCATATATAACCAAGTCGAACAACCAAACAACAAACACCCCGGGTGACTCTTAAACAGGCAATGATTTCGATGAACCCCGAAGTTTGCCCTTGTGGTATGAGGTTCACGGTTGAAGGTCCGACCAAGTACCCAATGAACTATTGAAGGGTGAAGGGCTTTCCGCGAAGTTGGAATCTAAAATCCCCCCTCATCAACAAAAACAAAGCAAACAAAGCAAACGTCCCGCTGAAAGTCCGCGCCGCTTTGCTTTTTGCGACATGATCTCACCAGCGCTTAGCTCGCCAGTGTGGACTGCAGGCTCACCAACGCCGTGAAGTCCGACAGGTCCAAGTAGCCTCCGAAGACGTCGAGTCGACGCTTCGGAAAACATCTGAACCGAAGGCCGAGGGATTTGGTCGAAAAAACTGAGGAACCTAGAGAAAATCCCCAAAGCAAGGGCAAACCAGAACCAGGTTGATTTTTTAAATGTCCCATTCCGGTGTAAGAAAAAGGCAGTTTCAAACGAGTGGTGCTTATTCCGTTGAATAAAATGACATGAACGTTTGGGCACCTTTCTCACAACCTTCCGCCGTGATTGAGGGCACCTTCCGACAAGCATATTCCTATACTCCTATACAACAGTTTTAGTTAGTAGTGGGAGGTTGCTTCCGCCAAGAACTTTGTTTGCCTATCTTACAAGACAACACGCTTTGCTCGGTGAAAACCACGGAAGGAGCGCGTACCTTCTGCGAGCCTCCGCGCTACACAAACCTGTCGCAAAACCTTCTGCGGATGCAAAGCGGTGCTGCTTCGTTTTTCATATGTCCACCTTTAGACATGTTTGCCTGAGCCGTCAAACTAATTATATACGGGGCCGTTCACTGTGACCAACCGCTTTAATGTGAATCTGAGAGCGCCCATACCTGCGACTTCCGGAGGGTACAATTTTGCGGTTTGGCGAAAAGGCATATGGTGCTGCCGCCTTGTGAAAAAAACAAATACGCCATTTGCCTCAAAACCTGCCGTGTCACAAAATGCCACTTCGAAGCCGCAGAAACATGTACCCCCCGCGAAACCATAAGTATCCACCGCCATCGAATCTGAGAGCGATTCGGATCCATCAATCGGTTAGCGACCAGAGAGAGAGAGTGCCCCCTTGACCAAGGATGCTCGAAAACCCCCTGGTCACATGGTCATAGTTCACCCATGGTGCACCCTAAAGGGAGCCTACAGTGGGCAAACGGCACCTAAGGTAATCTCACCGACCGCTGGCACGGCCCTTGAGAAAGGGAAGCCGCAGGAAATAACGCAATGTGTCTATCCTTTGGTTTGATAACGGAAAGCCACAAAGAAGCGAGGGTCTTTTCTTCCCTTCTGGTTTGATCATCAGTTGAATACCGGACAATACTACCACTAGAAAAAAAACAAGTTCATACCTATGAATCTACATCGATAATCGATAGGAGCCTGGACTTTGCAAAGCCGATGCACTGCAAATGTTATCCGCCCGCTTGAGTCTCGGAACATTGGAAAGCCAAAACGCCAACTCCAGTCCAATGGGTTGGGGAGAATAGCTTCAGCTCACACCTCACCTCAATGAGAGCCAAATAACCACCGCACGCGGCACGTGTGCATTTTGTGTTGGTCAACCCCGGTGCTGCCAGTTCCCGCTATGGTGGTAACCAGGTAATCATACATCTAGGTTGCACGTTGTGGTTCCGCCTGGTTGCTTACTACAGTGGTAACTGGAAGCACTGGGAGCGGGACTGACTACCTCAGGGCGAGAGTAAAATGCCAAAGCCAGAGCTTTGGGCCTCCGAACCCTCGAATGTCTGAGTTTCTGCAATTCCTTTTGTGTGGGTAAACCGGGTACAGGGAATGACTAAACCCAAACGAGGGAGTTGTGCCATCTACTTTCACCCAACTGCATTTGGGGGGGGCCAGAAAACTCGGTCCACTGAAGAGAAATCCCTCAACTTGTATAAATTGTGGCTTGAATTCACGGGTTCTCCCCCCACCAAGAAGAAACAACAAAACTGAGACCCCCTAAAAAATGCAACCACTTTCAGGGCCCCAAGAAATACTCCATCCACCGATTCCACAAAACTCATGCGACCGCGGTGGCACGCCTCGCTTCTTGGAGTCCATCTGCCCGAAAAAGGCCAGAATCTCCCCAAGCTCGTCGTTCTCGCAAAGCCCGCGGCGCACCAACTCGTAGCACAGGAAGTCGCTCTTGGTGACCCTGGCTTGCTGGGTGTTGGTTGGTGAGCCTTTGGTAAGGTATCTATGTGCACCAAACACTTTTCAGGGTATTCTTGTTCCCGGTCAAGCTCGAAGCAATACTGTGAGCAAATATGTTTTTTTCAGAAAGTCGCTCTTGCTAACCCTCAAAAGTCAATTCTAAGCTCAATTTCAAGCATCAACTAAATCATAGCAACCTGTCGTCCATGCTCATAATTATAACATATCATCACAAGTAATAATTCAATAATGAGTGTAGTGATAACTCAACTGCCACCCTTCACGTGCGCCTTCTCGTTTAAGGCGAAAGTGTCAGCAAATAATTACCTAGCATAAATTCTGAGGGTATACACCTGCCACTGTGTGCCACTGTTCAACAAAGTCATACCCGCTCTGTAGCTACATACCACCACCACCACCTACATGTAGCGCTATAGCTTTCCTTTGCACGCATCAAAACGCATCATAAATCCCTGCCTCAATAGAAAGCGCACCCTGTCCCCAACCCAAATCTCCCAATAAAGAGAATGACAATTAGCTAATTCTAAACCAATTCTAAACCAGAACACTTTAGAACCAACACTAAACCAATACTACACCAATACCAAAACAACTCCAAAGCAATTTCCAGCCAACTCGAAACTAGCACAAATCCACAAAATAATGTAGATTTCTGCTGTATGGGCCCCTCTTAAATTTGGCTGGGGACGGAACAATACTTCAATACTTTTTATATAATAGGGTACACTAGGGTACCAACCCCTTTCCGGGGGACTGTACGGAATTTAGTAGGGAACAGGGAATACCGGGTTCATAAATACAATATTAGAGATGCTGCTGCTGCTGCTGCTGCTGCAGGATTCAAAAATTACATTAGTCATCTTGAGTACTCATCGGTTCACTTGCAGCCTGGGGCCGCTGGTCCGCCTCACTGGCAGCAGCCGTTACCAAACGTGTTTACATCAGAGTCCCGAACGGGGTACACGGCTGGGCCCCTCAACCCCCTAGTTCAAACACCCATTTTGTGAGGGCATCATGTTAACGCCTGACGAAGAAAGATTGTATTTAAAGCGAAACCGAGGTGTTTCAAAACACACCCACAACCTTTAGTATTTGGAGTAGGGGCAAGGGCGTGAGCCCGCGCCCCGGGATTGTGGCCCCGATTTTCTCAGAAACCATAGGCGATATACCTACAACCTCTAATTTGCAAAACATCGGACAACGGATCACGCCTGTCGCTGCCAGCCGCCATGGTCTGTAGAAGCTCCTGACAAGGGGTGTAAATTGAAGAGCCCAAACAAACAGAAGGGAGTCTGGCTCGCTTTGAAGTCCACATCCAACGGATTGCTGTGGGGGGCGTTGATACGTAACAATTCAGTCATGGTTCCTGGAGAGTCACGTTTGTAACTAGTCCGCCTCTTCTAGTTGCACGGGGCGTCATGTTGGTCTGAACAGAAAAATGGAAACTAAACTCATGCCCAAAATGGAAAACAAATGAATGACAACATGAGTGATGAGCCACGTGGTCGCTTTGGCTCCAGTTTGGAGCAAAACAACGATTATGGTTGTTTTTTTTTGGCAACGAGTAATCACAGTGCGTATCTTTTGCTAGGAAGGAACTAGCCGGTGTCTCCATTTGTGATTTCGGTTGTGTTCAGTATTTTGGTTGGTCGTCAACATTTGATGTAACCTACGGTCAAATACCCTTTACATCTCTCAGGTGTACGTTCAGCAATTGATTTAACCCACAGGTTGTGGTTCCCGTTCAATGTCGCAGGTATGCTTCCACCATCTTCCAACCATATTGCCAGGGACCAGAATGTGTTTGTGTAAGATGAACTTGTCCCAAACTCCACTACTCCACGCAGTTCTGTATATATATATATGCTACCCCCCCCTTGAAATACTCAGGTTTTTGGGCAGAACTGAGGTTTTTAGCCAGACTGGGGGTGACACATGCCTTGAGACTCTGAAATGAACTGGACACTGAACTCCATGCAAATTCTAGACACGCAGAAGTTAAGCTCAACGTTGATTAGGAGTTGCGAGTTGTGTGACCGTCACATTGGCGTGCGCGAAGTGCACTTAAAGTCACATTCAAATATACAAAGTGCAATTTGGCAGCTCCAGCTCAAAAAACACAACTGTTCAGTACAGGAGTAGTGCGCGAAGTATGTTTTGGCAGCTTCAACGCGCCTGTAGCAGCCCTATTATTTGGTGTTTATTATTTTTGTTTGGCAGCGAAATTCAGCAAAACATCAACTCGGGGAAAAGGATCTCATTCCTAATCCATGTCCTTGCGCAGTTGCATTTACATGCTAACTCGAGTGGTGTGCATAATTCCTGACACGCTAGTTCAGTCTATTTGAAACATATGTTGCAAAGCAACTATCCCACGTGTGTGTGTGTGTTGCTTGTCTAAGTTGGTTCCATCATCGCCAAGAACAAGTATTGAAATTCAAGTAAGGGAAGAATATCCAGTTAAAAAAGCTTTCGAGTTCAAACCAAATTCAAGTTTACTCGTTTGCAGTTTCTTGTGCATTTCAATAAGCAACTGGAGAAGATAG